TAATGAGGCTACCCTCTCTAGCAATCACACTATTCATTTCTAAAACCTATAGAAAACTTAAGTCACAAAAAGAAATATAGGCGTCTCTTAGGGGGTGGTACTTCTGAGACCTGTTAATAAGAACGCTTCCCTCTCTTTGCTATATATGGGAAGCAGGATTAGATGCCTTATATCTCAGGCTTTATGACTGGGACATTGAAAAGTATCAGAAGTCTGTATTCACTGGGACTCCTCCATAAGTGATTTGTGGAACAAGGGCTTCGAAACTGCATTCTGTACTTCAGAAGGGCAGCAGCTTAGCCAATATGCAGCTGGTTTTGATCATTATATATTATATACATTTTACAGTATATGCATTAAACAAAAGAAACAAGCTGTTTCCTTTGTGTTTTGAGAAGTGAATCTTCCTGGAAAATCTTGGGTGGAATTTTTTTGTCTGCCACATGTTTTTTTAAGGAGAAGAAAAGTAATCCTGTAATGTCAGTCAGTACCACAGGAATTCAAGTGCTGCTCTGCCACATACTGAGTAGAATATGCTGTTGAAAACGGACCAGGTTTTTTGGTGGCTTTATAAGCTGGGGGGGAAACCACCCCAGAATGTTGTTATGACCATCCTTTTTGCACTTAAGGACTTCTCTTTGCAGGATTGCAGCTTATAATTGGCCATCTAAAGCACCACTGCTTGAATATAGAATTTTTGCATGTGTTAATCTCCTCTTAATTTGGTCCTCTAGATCAGTGTTTCCCAACCAGTGTTCCGCGGCACACTAGTGTGCCGCGAGAAGTTGGCTGGTGTGCCGTGGGAGGGAGGCGGGCGAGTCGGGCGGCGAGAGGCGGGGCGGCGGCGGCGAGGATCCGCGTCGAGCCGGGGGCGGCTCCGCGGTGGTGGTGCCGAGGTTTCTCTCTCCATTCTCCCCTCACACACACACACAGGAAATAACACAGGATCAGCTGACAGGACCCGGCCAATGGGGCGGCGGCGGGGCAGCGCGCGCAAAAGGGAGGAGCGCGAGACAGCGGACGAGGAGGAGGCCGGCATGTCCGGGCAGCAGCAGCAACTCCCGGCGACGGCTCCTCAAGCCCCGGGCAACCCTACTCCCTCACCGGCCTCGGCCGCCCTCCTGCTCCACCCGCCGCCGCCTCCCCCGCCGCCGCCAGCCACCTCGGCCCCGCCGCCGCCCCCTCCTCCGCCCGCTATCGCCGCCACCACCACAACAGCCGCCGCCGCCTCAGCTGCCGCCGTCCCTCAGTCCCTCGCTTTGCTGCCTCCTCCCCCCCCAAAGCTTGGAGGTTCCCCGGCAAGGGGGAGGGAAAAAAATTTGAAACTTTCACTTTCGTACGTCCCTCCCGGCGTGACGCTGCGCGCTGACGTCACGGGGCTGTAATGATGGTGTGCCTCGAGATTTTTTTCATCAAACAAGTGTGCCTTTGCCCAAAAAAGGTTGGGAAACACTGCTCTAGATCAGTGTTCCCCAACCTTGGGCCTCCAGCTGTTTTTGGACTACAATTCCCATCATCCTTGACCACTGGTCTTGCTAGCGAGGGATGATGGGAGTTGTAGTCCAAAAACAGCTGGAGGCCCAAGGTTGGGGAACACTGCTCTAGATGACTAGAATTGTGGAGTCTAATCGCCATTATAGCATCCTGCCTCTGCCTTCTTCCTTCTTTGGTTTTATCAGAGGAGATCAGTGGGTGGTGTTGCCTGGCAACTGCCATCAGGGGAAGACTTGCTTCGCCCTGAGCGGGTTCCAGCTGCTCATCCCCACCTCCTTGCCTCAGAGGCTATTGCTCAGAGAACCTCTACCCAAGACGTAGGCAGTTTCCTAAGAGGTGGCGACCAAAGAGCAACACAAGAGAAGACTAAGGATGCAGGTGGGAAATGCCACCTGAATAATCCTGACACCCGTCGGAACACAATTTGGACCAAATTGAGTTATACATGGAGAAGACCCTCTGGTTTCAATGTCTTCTCTCATTGCCTAGTTGGATGCAACCCAATGTTATTTCTGTTCCTGGTACCAGATCTGAATGCAATTTTCAGTGTGTGAATCTTTGGTAAGCACATTTTAAGGCACAAGACTTCCCGCAATACCCAGCAGCCTTAGCAAACTACAGTTCACAGGATTCCTTGGGGAAACAATGTGCTTTTAATGTGCATTGATTTATGGTGCGCTGCTATAAAGCAGTCTTCTAAATAAATAAATTTAAGTAGTCGGATAATAGTTGCAAATTGTAGTTTCTGAGGGTTAATTTAACAGTGGAGTTCTATACAGTGGTACCTCGGGTTACAGACGCTTCAGGTTACAGACTCCGCTAACCCAGAAATAGTACCTTGGGTTAAGAACTTTGCTTCAGGATGAGAACAGAAATCGTGCAGCGGCAGCGGAAGGCCCCATTAGCTAAAGTGGTGCTTCAGGTTAAGAACAGTTTCAAGTTAAGAACGGACCTCCGGAACGAATTAAGTACTTAACCCGAGGTACCACTGTATATATCAGCCCAGTAACATGTTCTCTGGGCAACTGACACAAAATTCAAAGAACAAAACACAATATTAAAGTAGAAAGCAGCATGTTTCATATTACCCTGGAGCAGAAGAGCCATAGCTTACTGGTCGAAGCTGACTTTGCAAGCAGGTTCAACCCCCAGCATCCCCCAGTTAACATTTATTAGGTAAACAGGTGAGGGGAAAGACCCTCTGTCTGTTACATGGAAGAGCTGATGCCGATCAGAGTAGACAGATCTGGATGAGATGGAGCAAGCAGTCTAAACTGGTATAAGGCTGTTTCCAACAGAAGATGGAAATGACTAGAATTATGGGTTCCTTTGACTTGCTAAATCCGCCAGTGGCCAATAGGAGGCTAGACTTCATAGCTTAGACCATAGAGTTATTTAATCACATCTCATCTGAAGGCCTGATTTCCCAGGTGTGGCACCATCTCCAGTTCTCCATATAAGGACTTGGCTATAAATTGCATTCACCCTGCGGAAGGCAGGCCTGTCAAAGGAGAGTGTTCTTCCCATTTTGAATTCTGAAGGCTCCCACAGGACAGTCAGAGGAGGCTGGAGGGGGGAATCACAACCATAGAGAAGGAGGTGGCTACTTTTCTCAGCTTTAGTGGCTAACTTTCCCTAGAAGTTGAGAGGAGGAATTTTAAGATTTCATGTTTTGGTACAATTGTTAAAGAAAGAGGTAGTTTTTTCTTCAGAATGATGGTGAGGTTATAAGCTTTTCAGGACTGCATCAAGTAAAATAAATAGAAGTAAGTAAAGTAAAGACCCGCCGTATGGGCCATATGTCCGACTCAGGTGTCGCACTCACTTAAGAGGTGGGGGCACGCTGTCACTTCGGTACGTGGCCAGCTGCATCGCTGTTGGCGAGCAGAGCGCCCGGAACGCGTTTACATTCCATAGACAGTCCCTATTTATCTACTTGCACTGGGGGGCTTCGAACTGCAGTTGCAGGCGCTGGGAGCAGCGGGGCGCACCTGCGCTCGAACTGCGACCTTTCGATCGCAAAGCCTAGACTGAGCTTTCACAATGCACCCGCTCCTAAATAGAAGCTTCCTATGCACAAAGAGGATTCAAGGCTAATGCATTAAAAACAACAAATCCCTTAAATATTCTTCTGCAATCACGATGAGCTTAATGTGACTTGGTTACGATAAGGGCTTTGCGCTACACCACAATGTTCTTAGCATAGAAAATAATTAGTTTTGCTAACCAGTGTGGATTTTAAGTCTGTTAACTGTAAAAGCTGAGTTTCAGTTTCTGCTGTATCTAGCAGAATAGCTAAATTAAATTTTTAAATAATCAATCTGTTCCAGGAGAAATAGCTAAGAATCATTAAAGGCCACGATCCAGCCTTTTTCTTTCCAATGCTCAGGTTGCATTTCTAGCTATTATCTGCTGTTAGGTTGTTGTTGTTTTACCACTGTACACTGTCTTGAGTAATAGGCATTGCAGAAAGATACTATAGAAAAATTAAAAATGAATGGGACAAGGATTGAGCGTGCAATTCATATCCCACATGCAATGCTGGTGGTGCTAAATGGAGAAAAATGGCTGGCAATTGTACTATATGCATTTATATGCTATGACTTCTACCGATACACTTGGTGCTCACTCTAGTTTCATCTTCCATTTAGAAACTGAGGACACCTTGTTCATCTTCGTGTGGACAGCCTTTGCTGGGAAGGAAGCAATGGGAGAATGACTCTGTTGATTTATCTGAATAGCTTGGTGGTTACCATGTAGGGATTGGAAAGCTCTCTGTCCCCTGCTCCCTTTCAGATCTGATGGGCTATTATTATTTTTTCTTTAAAAGCTTGGGGATGGGGATAACTTGATATTTCAACCCTTTGCTTCAGGGAAGAGAGGAAGGGAGTATTCTAGCTTTGACGAGTCTCTTGGTGGAGCAGGAAGAGGGGGCACAGGGTTTGCCTAGTTGGCGCTGTTTGGTCAAGTCCCAGGCTTCTCACCAAATCTGGAGCTGGAAGCGGGGGCAAGGATGCTTTGTCCACCTCCATAGCTTCAGAGTTGGGCAGGATAAAAAATGTATGCTTCTCCAAAACTTCATAGCTCCACAGACGTACAAAATGGATGTATTATATGTATACTACATAGAGCAAGTATCACAGCTTGGCAGAGTATCTCATTTTTGAAACGTGTGTCTAGCATCCCTAACAATCATCCACAAAGATTCTTTATACCTCATGCCTACAGCTTCACACAGAGGGGAAAACCTTTGGGGCAACCTTGTTCAGAACTGCCCTGAGGCTGAAAAGAACATCTCTTGCGGAGCCTGAAGCAGTCTTTTCCAGTTTGAATCCGTCTCTGTAAAAGTTTGTGTTTCTGGTATCTCATACTATGTGGTAGTAGGTACAACATGGAAGCCAGGCTAATCAGAGAGACAGAAAGAGAGGGAGTGTGGTTGGTGTATTGGGGGGGGCGTACTTGCAAATCACTGCGCTCATCTGTTGACTTCTGCTTTTGTTTTTCAGGTTCACACGTTCAGGGGTCCACATTGGTGTGAATATTGTGCCAACTTTATGTGGGGCCTCATTGCTCAGGGAGTGAAATGTGCAGGTAACAACTGCTCGGGTCTTTTATTTCTTTCTGATGCTGTGAATGTTTAGTAGGTTTTGCATTTCACAGTGAAATGCACTCCCTCAATCTTTACTGACTTCAGTTGTAAATAATGTTATGACTCCCATTGGCACGAGAAGTAACTGGATCAGCCTCTTATATTAATCAGAAAGTATATTGGTAATTTGGCACTCTGCCTTTTAACATAAAAAAGCAATAAAATGGAGGCTGAAACAATGCTAAAATCATCATAAAACAGCAGTAGTTGCAACAAAACTATAATAAATTCTGAAAGTCAGAGTTTCTCCAGTTGGATATCATTATGTGTTGATAGCATCCAGGAGAGAAATGGCTGTGAAGATTCTGCAAAAGCAAACAAGCTTTAAGCTACAAAAATGTAGTCCAAGAAATCAGATTCAATAAAATATGTATATAGGTGAACATCACACAGTTGCAAGGAAAATCCCAAGCTTTCAATACGCAGTTGAATTTACTTCTTAGGGTGGTTGTCTGTCTATCACAGATTAGTGCCATATGAATGAATGGGTCGGCTTATGGGCGTCCAGTACACATTTGATTTGATTTAATATTTGTATTCCACTTTTCCAACAGCAAATGTTGAGCTCAAAGCAGCTCACAATAATTAAAATAGCATTAAAAGCCAAACAAACATTGCAATCACCACACATGAGCATACACAACATGTGTACATTGTTACACAAATGCCGAATTGTTTCTATGTCATGAATATATGTTTTCGGAGAGCCATGTTGGTGGAGGAATGTGAAAACACTAAAACACAAATCCATATACATGGATTTTTGTGAATAAAAGTATATAAACATTCTGTCCACTTCCAAATGGTGTCTTCTTAGCATAATAATGCTAAGACTGTATAGATAGGCATGCAGTGCTTCAGGGGGAATCCTTCTATGGAAATAAACTCACTGTTCTTTAGATATACTGCTGTCTTAAACCAGATGAAGCCCAGAAAGTTTTCTTTTAATTCTTGCAAATAAAATAGTCTACGTTTCTTATTTAAAATAAAATTCTAGCCGTAGAAATCAAAACATGTGGGTGGCGGATTCTTAGTTGAGGTTGTTATTCTAAAGTAAATCATGTTAAATTATTATGGTGGGCACAATCAAGACTTTTAAATCTCTCTGATTTCAACCAAAGAGTTAAATGCCGCTTCTCTTATCACTGAAATCAGTAGCACTTGCCTAGAGTGTTCGTCTTGGCTGGGTTGTACCCAAAATTTTTAAAAAAAAAAGTTTATAGACCAATATTAAATTACAGAGAGTACAAAGGAGAAGAAAACTGTCATGGGCAGGCAAATGTTTTTTGCACATGAAGGTGCTGTGAAGCTACCTAGTCTGAGATCAAGGCGGGCGAAGAATGTAATCAAGATTCAGAAACAGGTGCTTGCTGGAGGGCAACATCGAAAGAGCATAGGCCTACAGTTGCTCCTTCAAGGTCCTAGTTAGCATTCTGTGGTCAGGATCCAATCCTTAGAGCACCAAAATTGGAATGGGCGCTTGTTAGTCATGTAAAAGCAATGTCAGCTATAAAGCAAGAAGACTAAAACTGTATAAAATTCTGAGTCCAGCTGTTTTTGAGCAAAGTCCAATGAACAGAGCACACTCTGATTACTTTTGCAATGTTGCATGTCAGCAGAAAGAGAGAAATAATGGGGCGGGGGCAGGGGTGGTGGAATGCTATGTGGAGATTTTTCCAGTAAGCACGTAGATTAATTTATAGCATGAGAGCTTGTCAATCCATTTTCTTCAGAGTAAATTTTATAATCAGTATCTTTTCAGCAGTGCGTGACATACCATGGCAACTAGCTTGCCCCTTCTCTCTAAGCTGGCATGTAGGTGGGTGGCTTGCCTCCCGCATGGCTACCGTTTATATAATGTTCTTTCACACACTGTGCATCGCCATCTACATTAAAATAATGTTTTAGGGCCAGATTTCACACACACACACACACACAAGTCCTTGAGTGGGAGGAAGAAAATTAAAAGTGGCTTCCTGCTTTACCCTGAACAAACCACAGAACAAACTTCCTTCCTTATCGCCTTTAAATTTTCTTGAGCTTTGCATTTGCTTTGGGGGCTTGTACTATTAAAACTTAAAGCATCCTTGCCTTGGGCCATCAAGCCAAGTGGCAATAGGGCAGGGGTCAGCGACCTTTTTCAGCCGTGGGCCGGTCCACCGTCCCTCAGAACATGTGGTAGACCGGACTATATTTTGAAGGGGGGAAATGAATGAATTCCTGTGCCCACAAATAACCCAGAGATGCATTTTAAATAAAAGCACACATTCTACTCGTGTAAAAACACGCTGATCAGTTCACAGCAGGTGTGTGTTTAGAGGGGAGGTTGAGCCCCAAGTTTTAGGTGTTAAGTCCAAGATCTTTTGTCCTTCCCCTTCTGTAAACTGGTTTCTTTTTTTAGTTTGTTTCAGGGTGACTAGACATGATACAAAGTGGAGTGCTCGTGAATTATTATTATTATTTTATTATTATTATTATTATTTATACCCCGCCCTCCCCAGCCAAAACCGGGCTCAGAGCGGCTAACAGCAAATGTATAACACATTAACATTAACATAAAATCAGACAATCAGTTAAAATGCATCCTAAAATCAGATCAGAATCAGAATAAAATCCAGTCAGATGGCAACCCGCAGATTAGGGTTGGGGACCTTAAATGCTCACCAGGCCCAACTGTTTGTGCTGAACTTATATGTGAGAAAAATTGGGAGGCCACTTTCATGCAAGTTATTATGAAAGGGGAGGGGGAGCCAGACTGAACCCTGACCAAAGGCCTGGCAGAACAGCTCCGTCTTGCAAGCCCTGCAGAAAGATGTCAAATCCCGCAGGGCCCTGGTCTCTTGTGACACAGCGTTCCACCAAGCCGGGGCCACAGCTGAAAAGGCCTTGACCCTGGTCGAGGCCAGTCTAATCTCCTTGAGGCTCAGAACCTCCAAAATGTTATTATTTGTGGACCGTAAGGTCCTATGTGGGGCATACCAAGAGAGGCGTTCCCGTAGGTGCAGGGGTCCTAGGCTGTATAGGGCTTTAAAGGTTAAAAACTGCACCTTAAACCTGATCCTGTACTCCACCAGGAGCCAGTGCAGCTGGTATAGCACTGGATGAATGTGATCCTGCGGTGAGGACCCTGTAAGGAGTCTCACTGTGGCATTCTGCACCCGTTGGAGTTTCTGAGACCTCAGCCACCTTCCATCTTAATTTGTCCAAAAACAATTGTTCTCGTTTTAATATGTCCCTAAATTAGCAGCTCTTGCCAGTAGATTTCAGGTGGAGCAGAGGGGCCAATCCATACTGGGCTCAGTAAATCTTGCTGGCACGCTATATCTCAGAGGAAGCCCAGTGTTTGTTTTTCCCCACTCTGAAAGTCAACCAAGCCTTGCATCTATTCATATAAATTAGTTTATGCAAAAAAAAAAATGTGTCATGGGCATATCCCCAAGTCTTTTAAAGTGTTGAACAATGTCTCTGCTTCAAGAATTGTTGTGCAGTCAAAAGGAGATGAACCCAAGTGCAATGCCCTGAGCATCTCGGAGGATGGGTGGGATGCAACTGGGATAAATAAATGCTTGCATCTCAGTTGCTGTTGCATTGACACTAACTTGTGATGGATAGATCAAGCAAAACAGCATTGCCAAGGCTAAGAAGGAGCTTGGCCAGAAGGCAGCTTCAAAGACAATCTTTGTAACCGACTCAGAAGGAGGTTTAGCCTAAAGAGGAGTTGAAAGCCTTAGAAACTGGGTAGCTCACTTTACCCCTGAAGGGTGTGAATGGTCTCCTCTAATTCCAGAAGAGCAATGAACGAAGGGAAGAGATGTTCCGTATCAGAGGGACACAAGATTCCTTTGGGTAATGGTGCCTTCCAAGAGCGCAGGTCTTTTACTGTGCCATGATTGATTGATTGATTGATTGATTGGGATCATTCATTTAGATATGGCTTGTTGTAGGCTGTTTTGTGAGAGCGTTGTTCAGTTAAAAGAAACTATTTGCTTCAATAAATAGCCACATCATAGCATAAAGGTAAAGGGACCCCTGACCATTAGGTCCAGTCATGACCGACTCTGGAGTTGCGGCGCTCATCTCGCTTTATTGGCCGAGGGAGCCGGCGTACAGCTTCCGGGTCATGTGGCCAGCATGACTAAACCGCTTCTGGCGAAGCAGAGCAGTGCATGGAAACACTGTTTACCTTCCCGCTAGAGTGGTACCTATTTATCTACTTGGACTCTGACGTGCTTTCGAACTGCTAGGTTGGCAGGAGCAGGGACCGAACAACAGGAGCTCACCCCGTTGCGGGGATTCGAACCGCCGACCTTCTGATAGGCAAGTCCTAGGCTCTGTGGTTTAACCCACAGCGCCACCTGCGTCCCACATCATAGCATAGGCTAATGTAATATACCTCCGGTTTTGTTATGTTCATAAAAGCTAGTCAGCTAATTGACAGAAAAGAATTAATTGCAATGATTCTGTGAGCTACCGCACTGGCAGATAAGCAAGGTCAAAGGACAGTTGTCACAACTCTTAAATGTTATAATTGTGTTTGGTGGCACCACAGCCAGTCACAAACAAACAACCACACCCTAGGCCAACCCCAACCTCTCTCACCACCAAAGGAACACAAGCGAATAGTAAAGAGAACCCGAACAAGTGACGCTGACACAAAACCCCACACATACACTGAGTAGAATAGAAGCATTGCCGCCCGACCCCATTCCCACTCACCATGCTGCCCTCCACCTCTTTCCCCCTTTTCTTCCTAAGGTAACACTAATGTCTCAACAAATGAAACTGATCTGTAGAAAATGTAACTTGAAAAAAAGAGACATTGCACATACTTTTAGGGCCAACAGACTTTGCAGGGTTGTTGAGTAGATAACATGGGGAAAGGGGGACTATGCATGGCCTCCTTGAGCCCTTTGAAGGAAAGGGTTGGCTATAAATGAAATTAGTAACAGATAATAGGGGGTTGGGAGTGGAATGCTGGCTAGTTTCTCCAACATACCAGGCTCCTTGCCCAGATGTCTTGCGGCGAGCATGCGTCCACTGTTTGCAGCTGCAAGTGACCCATACCTAGCATTCTTGCACAACCGATGGGCCATTTGGGAAATAAAAGGCGGTACTTTTCTGCAAGAGCAGGGTGGGTTGACGACCCTGAACAGACCTTGCAAGTTCTATCCTTGGTGTTTTGCCGTCATCTTTGAAAAAAATAATATAGATTCTTTCCTTCAAAAAGTCTTCCTTAGGATGGTTATCGCCACAATTGTCTCTTATCATTTGTGGGTCAATTAATATCTGTAGAATACTTGGTGTGCCACTAGGCTGCCAATACCAGCAGATGAGGATTCCCCAGCATTTTTAACCAACTAAATGGAAGCTAATATGAGCAAGTGCAAGTACATTGTTTTTTTCTTTCCACAGATCCAAAATTAGCCCCACGTGGGGCTTAGCTGAAGCTTATTTCATCCACTTGCCCCAAATCCTGCTTTGATTTCATGGCGATCATAAAACTGAAGGAACTCTCTGGTTGTCTTTTTGAGGGGCATATACATTATTATTATTTCCGTTTCTATTTGTTCTCAAAAGTGACAGAATGCCTACCCTTCCCCAGTGTAGCTTTGATAAAATACGATGGCCGTGCATTAACATATGAGGATGTTTCTATAAAGCTCATTCAGCAACTATATATATTCCAGTGAATTAGAAGCAAGAAGAAGGTTAGGGCTGACTAAAATCAAATCAGCAGTGGAAGAGAAAATGACAGCTTTGCTTATTGTACTCTCAGCAAATATTTGAAATGGGTCCTCGTGGGGCAATCTTAATATACAGTGCTTACAGGTCTTGTGTTTGCTCATGCATTAATGAAAGCACATTATTACAGCTTTCACTGGAGAGTGCGAGAATCGATATTTTCTGTTCTTAAATATTGTCTTTCCATTGATGCCCTGGAAAAGTGCAAGGGAAGAATGGCTTATCTGAGACATTTCAACTTGCAGTATCTGAGAATCTATTTCATCATGTTTCTAGGCTTTCTAGCGGTTTATGAAATTACATATAGTGTAATCTTTGCCTTGGTGGCCTGAGAAGCTAGAAAACAAGCTAAGATAGAAGCTAAGATAGAAAGGACTGGTAGTTTTAGAAGCTGTGAAGGGGACTGACAGTGAATTTTGGATGGTTAGTTTATATAAAGGGGTTGCTGCTAAACTCAGAACACTCAAGGCCACTTTGTACACACGCAAGATGGGCATAGCTTGATGAAAGAACATGTGCTTTGGCTGCGGAGGGGAATAGGTTCATTCTGTAGCATCACTTCATTGCAGCATCACTTGCAATGAAGTCATATTGAAGTATATGCTGATAACCTGTTATAAACATGTAGAACCAAGGTGATAATATTCTTCAAACTGTGTACAAGTCCTGTACTTCATGCAGTCACTTAAGAGATCCTTAAAATAGCAGACTCTCTAGGATTTCATAGCTACAATTTCATAGCACTAAATGTTGGGCTAACCGTTTTTTTGTTGTTGTTGCTTGTATTCTTTCCCCACCAGATTGTGGCTTAAACGTTCATAAGCAATGCTCCAAGATGGTCCCAAACGACTGCAAGCCAGACCTGAAACATGTCAAAAAAGTGTACAGCTGTGATCTCACTACACTAGTAAAAGCGCACTTCACAAAGAGACCAATGGTTGTAGACATGTGCATTAGAGAGATTGAATCGAGAGGTAAGGCATCCTTAAATGATATTGTTGCCTTTTCTTATAATTCCTTTAGATCAGAGCTTTCCAAACTGTGTGAGCATGTCGGCTGCAGTGTGTAGGTGTGTCGTGTGAACACTCCTCCTGGGGGCTGGTAAAGGGTTAGTTTAACCTCCGGTTTGCTAGTAAAACTGAATTGCTGTGTCGCAGAATGATGCGTGTGTCACCGACACGTAGAGTTTGGAAAACTCTGCTTTAGATTGATCTGGTTTAGCTGAATTTTAAGTTTGAAACTGTTTTGCATGACACATCTTACAAATACATACCCATTTCCCTGAGCAATTCATGCTTATCTTTGCATTGGGGTTTTTTGTTTTTTTTTAATGTAATGTCTCTGCTGAATCCCCGTTATTGTTTCTTTAATGGTACAAGTTACAAAAAATATTCTTTCCAGTGCTTTAATATTTATGCCTGCTGTTGAGTGATCTCTTGTCCTACTTGCACAAATGCGCCCTTCCCAATATATTCCTGTGGAAAACAACAGGTAAATTATATATTTATAGCTAGGCACTATAATTACATATTTCCTCCTCAACGTCTACCCCTGCTAATGATTCTTTGCTTGAATGTTGCTCTTACGATATTTAAATATATGTAAATAAGCTTGGATATTCTAATGTGAGTGGTTTGTTTTCAAATTCCTTTGTGATTTGATGACATCTTCCTCATTCCAGGGACCATTATCATAAATATGTTTGTGTAAAATTATTGGGTGCTGATCACAACAGTGTTACATATTTAGGATTGAGAGCTGGCGGTGAAATTTATGCTCAGAAAGGAAGATGTGGCTTTTAAAGCTCAGCTCAGATTTATGCGTTGCTAGCAGTAAAGAAATGTGACTGTAGAAAAGATAAATATCTAAGTTTAATTGAGTGATTTATTTATTTTTACAGGTCTCAATTCTGAAGGACTCTACAGAGTATCTGGATTCAGTGACCTAATTGAAGATGTCAAAATGGCTTTTGACCGAGGTAATATTGCTTACTGGATGTTTTAGCTTTTACATCCAACACAGTGGCCAAGACTCCAGAGCGCAGCACCCATCCCAGATAGCAGACCATTTTTAAAATGGAGTGGACTTGCAAAGCTTATGATATGAGACTCTTAATCTCAGGGTTGTGGGTTCGAGTCCCAGATTGGGGAAAAGATTCTTGCATTGCAAAGGTTTGGACTAGCGCTTCCTTTACAACTCTACAATTCTATGGTTTAGTGCAGCTATGATCAAGATCCATCCATTCCAAAATCTTAGCATGAAAATAATTCTTAGGTCAGAAATCGGTTTCAAGTTCCACAACTGGATGCCATTCAACACACGAAACAATCACTCCTAGGTACCCCAAGCTTCCTTCATTTCAGAAGTAAAATTTAGGGGTGGGAGGCATTTCATTGCTCCTGCTGTAAAACGACTCGAGTTTTAGGGATCTTTCCCAGTCTACTGCAAATCAACCATAGGTTGACCAGTAGATGCAGATCTACTGTACCTAAGGAAGGTTTTGGCATACCAGCCATTGTATACGTTGACAGTATGAGGTCTGGTGAATTGGCCTTGATTACTGAGCAGAGGACAGAGTAGTGTTTGTGGCTGATTTATCTCGCCATTGTCATCTCATTTAGTAAAGGAATCGCCCTTGCAAATTGAGGTATACGTAAATTAACATTCTCACTATCTGTACCAATTCATTATTTAATTTATAACGTCTTGTGAAAAGAAGAACAAGCTGGTTTAAGTGTACTTGACTTAGGGCTGAAACCTATGCCAATATAGTACTGGAGTTGTTTACAAAAGGCTTGCTGGGACAGCAAAAAGCTGAACACCAGTAAATGTTCAATTTTGTATGAAAATAATCCTCCTACATTGTTTGCTTCTCCTCTCCCCCACCCCCTTTTCTCCCTCGTTTTTACCTACAGATGGGGAAAAAGCAGACATCTCTGTGAATACATATGAAGATATCAATATTATCACAGGTGCACTTAAACTGTACTTCAGGGATTTGCCAATTCCGCTAATCACATACGATGCCTACCCAAAGTTTATAGATTCTGCAAGTAAGTTTTAGTTTATACTATTTTTCAAGTGAACTTTGTCCCCCCCCTCCCTTTTAGTGATTTTTTTTTTTTTACTGTTTATTACCTCTAGATTCTCCATAGGTTTTGTTTTTGTAGAGTCAAGCAACTTGTGGGGATTGTGTGTTTGTGTGTGTTTAAGCTGGAGTAACATTTTATTATACAGTCATCCTTTAAGAGCAAGTTGAAGTCAACAACCTTTTCAGAAGTAGAATCAGAAATGTCTTGGTAGGCCACACACACCCCTCCAATATTTTATTGTATTCACTTCTTTATGCAAGGGAGCAAGAGTAAACATTCATCAATCCCACCCACCCCCAACAGAAGCACCAAATGTCTAATGACTTGCTAAACTTGTTTCGATCATCTTTTTTGCATTCGTGTGACCACCATATCTCCTAACAGATAAGTTCGAAATATTAGGTGACTTCGCGCCGGGCTCCCGAGGGCTGCACAGGGCTTCAGCGAAAGCCTGCATTCGCCCCATAGGACGCACACACATTTTTCCTTCATTTTTGGAGGGGGGGAAGTGCATCCTATAGGGCGAAAAATACAGTACTTTTGCCATTCTTGTGGACGTTGGTTTGTTTACAGATGGTTGCCTTGGTGATATTATCTTGTGTTGATTGCAGTAGTCATTGTATCATCACCCAGTCTGTTTTGTTGTTTTATTGTTAAAACTTTAGGCAAGGCAGGTTCCATTGGAGGTGTCCCGCCCCCCCCCCCCCGGTCCAAAGCAAATTTGTGCAAGGTGTTACAGCACCTATCTGTTTTCTTACCTGAAATGAACAAACTGTAAATAGCAGCAGTAATACTTTACTACACCGACAAATGCAGCTGTTCACGATTTATGATACAGGCTAGCTGCCCATATCTGAAAAACACTGTGTCATGCTTCGTGAATGAGTCTAAATTCATTAAAAACAGACTCCCAGGGCAGATAAAATCGGGACTCCGTCCTCTGGTCTCCACTTGGTAAAATATTGATTAGTTGAGTTAAAACTAATTTAAAACTCGAGAGCTGCGGAGCAACTCTCCGCTTCACAAACCATTTCTCATCATCTGTTTAATTACAATAAACTAGAATTATCTGGGAAGACTACCCAAACTCCTGAAACCCCCACATATTTTGGCTTCAATTTGATCAGATATTTCTTGTTTCAGAAACCACGGATCCTGACGAACAGCTGGAAATACTTCATGAAGCCCTGAAACTGCTGCCTCCTGCTCACTGTGAAACCTTACGGTATCTCATGGCGCATTTAAAAAGGTATGGAAATGAATGGTCCTTCTTAGTACCTCTTAGGTGTTTCTTGCCTCTGGTTCTTGGGCCAACTGCTGCAGGCATTAAATCCTAAGGGTAGGACTCCAGTGATGGAAGGCATTACTCAATAGGGAGTGGCAATTTTCAGCAGTTCTTCCTCCTCCCTACAGTCACATGTGTCCCTCCCCCCTAAAAATGTAGGAACTGGAGGGTCCCCCAAACTTCTAAAGCTGATTTAGAGAAGGAAAGGAGCTGCAGCAGAAGGAAGAATTTCCGTAAAATTGCCTCCTTCCCAATTCTGTTGGTGGATGCCTTCCGGCAGTGGGAGAGACAGCATTGGAATGTCACCCTTTGTGCCCTATTCATGTGTTGAGCCCTGATAAGCAAATTCTCAACAAGAAGTGTGAATTCCATATTTCCCCCTTCATGTAACTATCTACGAAACAATGCGAGTGTTTCCATGTCAAACGAGGCTGCTTGTGAATTCAGAGGAATGATCATAGATTGGTTTTGGAATTACCTAGCCCTTGTGAGGTCACACAGCACAGTCCCTCGTCCCCATTTATTTCCTCTGAAAATAGAGACCCAATAAAATGCCTCTTTGTTTTTGCTCCCCTCAACTGAAGAACAGGTGAGATCTGTCCCTTTGGATAGCTCAGTTGGTTAGAGTGTGATGCTAGCGTTGCACTGACCGCATGCCACTGTTCAAAAATCTAAACTTCCCTGAGAGTGTAATCCTAATCCTCTCTGGTTTGGGTTTTTGTTTTCCTTTGCAAAAACTTTTTCCCCCGCCAAAAAGACATCTTATTTCCCCCTCTTTTGAGGAACTTTCTTTGATCATATAGTTTTCTTTGGGAGGATAGCATTCTGGCCATTAAAACAATGCAAAGTAATATTCTGATTATCCCAAAGCAACCATGCCTTTAGTTAGTCCATGCAAACTTTGGATCTTCAGGTAGTTACCGTATTTTTCGCTCTATAACACGCACCCGACCATAACACACACGTAGTTTTTAGAGGAAGAAAATCCATAGGCATGCCACCCGTAGGCATTCCCTCCATAACACGCACAGGCATTTCCCCTTACTTTTTAGGAGGAAAAAAGTGAGTGTTGTGGTGCAAAAAATACGGTAATTTGTCTTTCCCGGTTACATGGACTATCGCATCATGCCCAGCATTGTTTTCCTTGTCTACCACATTGAGCATGGCTTGGCCTACGGTTTCTAAGTCGAAATCTGGCTGAACCAACTCAGCTGCGCGAGTCTGTAATTGAAACATTAAAAATTGAGCAACCCCCTCCGCCACATCTTCGGCCCTGGCTGGCATGAACAGCAAAGTTTTGGGTGCAGTAGTTGCTCTGCCCAGTGCTCCCAGCCCAGGGTTTAGGATTGCTGTACCCAGCCAATAAAATTCCAGTAATGATAGTGTGCCCTAGATTCAGGTAGCACCTTAGAGACCAGCTAAATTTGTTCTTGGTATAAGCTTCCGTGTGCATGCACAATTCTTCAGATACACTGAAACAGAAGCCATATAAGGGTCTGGTGACTTCTGTTTCAGTGTATCGGAAGAAGTGTGCATGCACTTATACCAAGAACAAACTTAGTTGGTCTCTAAGGTGCTACTGGACAATTGTTTCATTTTTTTATATATTTTGATAGTGTGCCCTGTTCTTTGAACAAGCATTTTTAGTTCTTGGCAAAAGCTTTGGTTTTTTAATTTGGAAAAATTAACATCTTTGCTATGGATAAGGAAAGCCGCAATCCAGACTATGTGAAGCACATTTAAGGCCTGCTCTCCTCTCTTTCTATTAAAGGTAACAAAAAGGGAGGGGTTACTTTCTCTCTATCACACCCAAAACGATTTTTCATTCCCTTTTATTAACAGCACCATTTTCCTTTAGAAGCTCAGCGAGATATTAATGGGATCCGTTGACAAATGTGCACTTGCCACTTCAGATATGATTTGTAGTGGTTTATTCTTTTAAAAAGTATTCTCTAAATACATACTCCACTCGTGCAAGTATAATTTCGCAATCAAAATCCTCTTTAAAAGTCAAATGTGGAAAAAAGCAAATGCAAACAGCAGAAGTGACAAGAAAGGAGGAAGAGAGTAGTTTCTGATAGAATTCCAAAAAAACTTATTTAGTGTGAGGGCCAGCCAGCTCTTTTCTATAGCAATAGCCAAGAAATTTCCACACAGAATTTTCTTATGACTACCACAGATGCAAGAATAATTCGGCCGTCCCCATTTCACATAGGTACATACGCAGCATCTAACTTTTTATAGGCATGCTCACGAAGACGTGTTGCGATGAGGGAACAGCTAATGAAGTCTTGTTATCAAATTCAGTTGGTCAGCCTGCTTGGCTATATTTGGAGTCACTGTAAATAGAAACTGCAGAGGTTCGCCAGCTTCAGAACAATATGCCAAACAGTTATCAGCTCCTAGCTATCATGATAGGTGTCTGAACTTTATTTTACTCTATAATATAGAACGAACACGGTGGAGAGGGGGCTGCTGATGTTTTATTTATAATTCACAGACTTCTCAACAGTGGGCATTTAGTTATATACGTGTGCCCTTGATGGGGATTTTGAGTTGTAATCCTGCGATATGAATTTAATCTGTTCACCAGCTAATTTACAAATATTAATTTGTTCTGAGAGGCAATTAACTGCCGTAAAGCGTATTGTAGCCTCTCAAGACAGCCGCTTGCATGCTGCGCCATTCAAACAGAGTCCGAAGAGAGGGAGACAATCACTTTTCCTGTCATTTACTACATAAATTGTGTATCGTAGATGTTTATGCATTTAGATGGTTTGCTTTGTGTGCTCTATATTTATTCCATTTTACTGTTTATAACAGGGACACGGGTGGCGCTGTGGGTTAAACCACAGAGCCTAGGACTTGCCGATCAGAAGGTCGGCAGTTCGAATCCCCACGACGGGGTGAGCTCCCGTTGCTTGGTCCCTGCTCCTGCCAACCTAGCAGCTCGAAAGCACGTCAAAGTGCAAGTAGATAAATAGGTACTGCTCCAGCGGGAAGATAAACGGTGTCTCTGTGCGCTGCTCTGGTTCGCCAGAAGCAGCTTAGTCATGCTGGCCACATGACCCGGAAGCTGCACGCCAGCTCCCTCAGCCAATAAAGCAAGATGAGCGCTGCAACCCCAGAGTCGGCCACGACTGGACCTAATGGTCAGGGGTCCCTTTACCTTTACCTTACTGTTTATAACATGAAAAGGGATGTGTGTGTGGTTCTATAGAAGCACATGGCCTCTTTCAGTTCTAGACTTTCATCCTTCCTCTAAGGAGCCCCTAAGGGGATATCCGTCTCACAGTAGTCCTTTAGGGCAGTAGTTTCCAACATGCTCAAAATTTGCCAAGCACCAGGAGCATTTTGCACCTGACCATCGGCCACTTGCGACCAAGTGAAGATGCCCAGATACAGTGGTACCTTGGGTTACATACACTTCAGGTTACAGACTCCGCTAACCCAGAAATAGTACCTCGGGTTAAGAACTTTGCTTCAGGATGAGAACAGAAATCGTGCTACAGTGGCAGTGGGAGGCCCCATTAGCTAAAGTGGTGCTTCAGGTTAAGAACAGTTTCAGGCTAAGAACGGACCTCCGGAACGAATTAAGGACTTAACCCGAGGTACCACTGTACCAGGAAGGTGCCAGACATCTCCACCATCTGGAGTTGCCTGCCTGGGGATCCTTGGGTCTTGCCTGTTTTCATACCATTCTTGGGCAAGGTGATTGAGCGGGTGGTTGCCAGACAACTCCAAGCACGCCTGGAGGATGCGGACCATTTGGATCCCTTCCAATCGGGATTCAGGCCTCACCATGGGACTGAAACTGCCTTGGTCGCGCTGGTTGATGATCTCCGGCGGGCTAGGGACAAAGGTGAGAGCTGTTTCCTAGTTCTGCTGGATCTCTCAGCGGCCTTTGACACCATCGACCATAACATCCTTCTGGACCGTCTAGAGGGGCTGGGAGCTGGGGGCACTGTTATACGGTGGTTCCGCTCCTTTCTCCTGGGCCGTGTCCAGAAAGTGGTGGTGGGGGATGAGTGTTCAGACCCCTGGGCTCTCACTTGTGGGGTGCCTCAGGGTTCCGTCCTCTCCCCCATGCTTTTTAATATCTATATGAAGCCGCTGGGAGAGATCATCAGGGGGTTTGGGCTGGGTGTTCATCAGTATGCAGATGACACCCAGCTCTACCTCTCCTTTAAATCAGAACCAGTGAAGGCGGTGAAGGTCCTGTGTGAGTGCCTGGAGGCTGTTGGAGGATGGATGGCGGCTAACAGATTGAGGCTGAATCCTGACAAGACAGAAGTACTGTTTTTGGGGGACAGGGGGCGGGCAGGTGTGGGGGATTCCCTGGTCCTGAATGGGGTAACTGTGCCCCTGAAGGACCAGGTGCGCAGCCTGGGAGTCATTTTGGACTCACAGCTGTCCATGGAGGCACAGGTTAATTCTGTGTCCAGGGCAGCTGTCTACCAGCTCCACCTGGTACGCAGGCTAAGACCCTACCTGCCCGCAGACTGTCTTGCCAGAGTGGTGCATGCTCTAGTTATCTCCCGCTTGGACTACTGCAACGCGCTCTACGTGGGGCTACCTTTGAAGGTGACCCGGAAACTGCAATTAATCCAGAATGCGGCCGCTAGACTGGTGACTGGGAGTGGCCGCCGGGACCACATAACACCAGTTCTGAGAGATCTGCATTGGCTCCCAGTACGTTTCCGAGCACAATTCAAAGTGTTGGTGCTGACCTTTAAAGCCCTAAACGGCCTCGGTCCAGTATATCTGAAGGAGCGTCTCCACCCCCATCGTTCAGCCCGGACACTGAGATCCAGCGCCGAGGGCCTTCTGGCGGTTCCCTCATTGCGAGAAGTAAGGTTACAGGGAACCAGGCAGAGGGCCTTCTCGGTAGTGGCTCCTGCCCTGTGGAACGCCCTCCCAGACAGATGTCAAAGCAATAACACACTATTTACTTTTAAAAGTCGATCTGAAGGCAGCCCTCTTTAGGGAAGTTTTTAATGTTTTTGATGCCTGTACTGTTTTTACATATTTCAGTTGGAAGCCGCCCAGTATGATGGGCCGTGGGGAAACCCAGCCAGTATGGGCGGGGATAAATAATTAAATTGATTGATTATTACTTGATCAGTATTATTATTATTATTAGTAGTTATTATTATTTATTACTTAATACTAGCAACACATCCTGTAGGATTCTATCCATTATATTTTATCTGCACAATCAAAATGAATTTCAGGAACCAAAAAGTCCTATTAAAAAACAAAACTTTCCTGCCGTATGGGCCCCAAATGGCAAAGAGGCATTCTGTTTTGGTAACTCTAACCCTGGGTTTAAGGGGCCATTGGTGCCTGGCTTAGATATCTGGTTTCTAACCCTGTTTACAATCACAAGGACCCCCTTTTAACATCAGATCTCACATGCTGTAATTGTAGTAAGGTCAGATCTTAAGAGTACAGAATTATCAACACAATCAGGGTGCCTGCAGGGTTTTCTGGGCCCCGTATGTGAATCAAACCCCCTGCTGCACTAACAAAAGAAACTAGTTTTCATGAGAAGAGTTCGTTGGAGAATGAGAACTCCTTTGCAAAACTGTAATTCTCAGGGTTCCTGTAGTTGGGACTCAATTGTCCCACCAAGTCTTGCCAACTGGATTTCTGTAAAGCAGTGATCATAAGGCAGACTGTCTGGGAATGGGTAGAGAGGGGAGAATCAGGGGTGGGGGCAGGCCGACCCTGGGTGTCACCACTGAGGGGGTGACAAAACGGCGGGCGGCACTCACCACGGGGCCTGCAGTGCGTCCGAGCCACACGTCTCTCCTGGGAGTGACACGCTGGCTTGGGCGCACGCAGGATCCCCGCTGCCCCAAACAATTCGCCCTCAGCTGTAGGGCAGCTGAGTGGGAGGAGGTAGGCAGACTCTGCGGAGGTCCCGTGGAGCATCCTGCCCCCATTTGCCCTGCCCCCATGGGCGACTGGCCCCACCCCTGAGCACAGGGCACATGCACTGCCCCAGGCGCCCAATCGGCTGGCTCTGCTGCTGGGGAGAATATCTGCCATGATGACATACAGCTGCCAATAGGGCAAAATACATTATGACCATTAAAACATTTACAGTGGTACCTCGGGTTACATACGCTTCAGGTTACAGACTCCGCTAACCCAGAAATAGTGCTTCAGGTTAAGAACTTTGCTTCAGGATGAGAACAGAAATTGTGCTCTGGCGGCGCAGCAGCAGCAGGAGGCCCCATTAGCTAAAGTGGTGCTTCAGGTTAAGAACAGTTTCAGGTTAAGTACGGACCTCCAGAACAAATTAAGTACTTAACCCGAGGTACCACTGTAATTAGTAGCGTCAATGTGGTTTGTGTTTCTGGTTCCATGTTTGTGAGATCAATCTGGCAGCTACCAATAATGTCTTCCCAGTGCTTTGTGTTTTAACTGTAGCCCTCCTTGTTTCAGGGTGACGCTCCACGAAAAGGAGAATCTGATGAACGCAGAGAACCTGGGCATTGTTTTTGGACCAACACTGATGCGAGCGCCGGAACTTGATGCAATGGCTGCCCTGAACGATATCCGTTACCAGAGACTTGTGGTGGAGATGCTTATAAAAAACGAAGATATTTTATTTTGAACTTGTTTGTGGGTGTGGGTGTGCATGTATGTTTTTAAATGAACTTCAAAAAAGAAAAAGAAAAAGAAATCCGGGGATGATGAAGGAATATTTTGAAATGGAGCCTGCAGCGGAATTCTGATTGTGAGGTTTTTGATGTATGAAAGGTGCTTGTTTATCGTTGCTTGTGTGGTATCATTCAGACAATGTTGGGAACATATATTGTACTTTCCAGTACTAAATAGGTCTGGGGGGGTTTCATCATAGTACAGGAAATTCAAACTGAAATAGGTCTCCTCCTTGTTTTACCCTCTCTTGTGAGGCTTCTGCTGCAAAGGACACAACAGGAACAGCACAGCTTCTGTGTTCTGGAATAGTCTGTGATTGTACTTTAGCATGTTTCTCAGTGTAAATCTGTTGTGGGTTTCTTACTACGTTCCGTAATTGGTTTCTGATATTTCAGTTGCGGGGGGGGGAGCAGATTGCAGTGAACCAAGACCTCTAGCTCTTCATTGACATCACCCCTCATTCTTAGCCTATTTTGAAAGATACCGTATTTACTCAAATCTATTGCGTGCCTTTTTAGGCCAAATTATGTTGAGAAATTTAAGGGGCTCATTAGATTTGATAGCACATTTACATTCGCCAGCAAATCCTTCCCCCACCCCCAAGGTGCTGAAAAATTGAGGCGTGCATTAGATTTGATGGTGCATTCGACTCGAGTAAATACGGTAATTTCTAGCTGGGTTCTATAGCATTTGTTTTAACGATGGCGTGCATTTTTCTTTTACGTTGTGGTTGCCACTTTTAAGTCATGCCTTTTTTTGTAAAGATCCAGTTAAAGGTGGCAAACTGAACGAATGAAGACTGGTTTGTTGTTGTTTTAAATGGTAATTTTGTATTTTTATTGGGCATGCGTATTAATTTATTAAAGTTTTGCGTTGGAACCTTACCAAGTCTGGCTGCATTTTTGCCCCAGTATCACAGACACGCAGCCCATTCCCCCACCCCAAACAAAAACACACTTATTTGAGAAGTCCTACTTGACTTCTCAGTTTAGCCTATTCCCAAATGCAGTGGTACTTACGAACGTGATCCATTTCAGGCTGCCGTTCGCACCCCGGAAAGTCCGTAAGTAGAGCACCACTGCGAAGCGTGATAGAGCACTCCTGCACATGCACGAAGCACGCAGATCGCTTCTGCACGTGTGCGCGTGGCGAACCCAGAAGTAAACACTTCCGGGTTTGCTGCATTCGTAACCTGAAGAGCCGCAAGGTGAAGCCAACGTAACACGAGGTATGACTGTAATAAATGCACAAGACTGTTTATGAGATAACAGGGTTGTAAAGTTCCAGAGTTAAGCTTTAGCCTATTGAAATCTGGAACTTAAACATGCCTAACTCAACACAATATCAGGCTGTTAGTGGATTGGGGAACCATTTCAGCCTGAGGCTGCACTCCCTTTTGCCGGTGGCTGGTGCAGCCAGAAGTGAAAGTGGGCAGAGAAAGGAAAGCAAATTTCACCTCCCCATAGTAGGCTGGTTTCTGCACACATATCCCTCTCTATCCTCCCTCCAGGTGAGCAGGAGTTCAAAGGACGTATTCAAGGCAAGCAAAAAAACTTGAGGGTGTGAAGCACGCAGCCAGTGTGGAGTGTGGCCTTGGGGCTAAAACAGTTTTCTTGTGGCATAAAGAATAAACTTAATAAATTATCAGGAGTGCTTTTAACCACCAGTTCCTAGTTCATTTTTCTAATTAAATGTACAGCTGATGATATGCCAGCCAGCCTACTTATGCAAACCAGCAATCCAAACTTAATGAATCCAAATCATAGCTTCAATTGTTGGATAGTGACTTCCCCACGCACTCTACCCTTCAGACCAGGGAGAAATGACCTAAAGTTACAAATTATTTATTTGGGTATGTGTGGTTTAGCAAATCATGCAAATAAGTTGCTCTCAGTATTCCTGCAAGTCCCTTAATATAGCTGTCCTATCTTACATACAGTTTCATATATAATATTCTCTAGAAACTGGTGAGCTTTGACAAATTATGCAGGCAATTGTGCAGATCTTTTGATGGCCTATTTCAAAGAAAGGTACAGTGGTACCTCGGGTTACATGCGCTTCAGGTTACATACGCTTCAGGTTACAGACTCCGCTAACCCAGAAATAGTGCTTCAGGTTAAGAACTTTTCTTCAGGATGAGAACAGAAATTGTGCTCTGGCGGCGCGGCGGCAGCAGGAGGCCCCATTAGCTAAAGTGGTGCTTCAAGTTAAGAACAGTTTCAGGTTAAGTACAGACCTCCGGAACGAATTAAGTACTTAACCCGAGGTACCACTGTACTAGAGAGTCTCATTCTTCCCCTCTCCCCTTACACATAGAGCCATAATATTGTGAATCTTGCTAGTCAAAACTTAATAAACACCAATATGCAACGCTCTGACTTCCAGGCCTTGTCTGTGTTCTTTATATGCCATCTGGTCCATATGAACAAAAGATCCTACTTACTGTCAGAGGTCCGTAATCGGGGGGCCTCCCAGACTCCTCCCACCGCAAGGAAGATGATGAAGAAGAGCTGAACAAGGCTGGATTGGGAGCCGTCTTTCCACTGTTTTAGGCCTTCACAAGGAGAAAGAAGCAAACAAGGTGTGATCTGGTGGTATTTTTGCCATGGAGCAAGTAATGAGCAGGAGGAGAATAAAGACTGAATTCTTCATTTCCATTCACCAAGTCTTGAGGACAAGTCTGTGTTTACATCATGGCTATATGTGCAGAGCTGTCCCTGCCAGCTAAGTGAATGAGGAACATACTGCCCACACAGAAGTGCCAGTGGTTCCTCTTTGACTTAAATATTGTAGCTCACAAAATTGTTGAGGTGGAAGGGACCCCAAGGGTCATCTCATCCAACCCCCTGCAATGGAAGAATCTCAACTAGAACATACATGACAGATGGCCATCCAACCTCTGCTTAAAGGAAGCAAGAGGAGGAAGGAGAGTCCACCACCTCCCAGGGGGTCATTTCCACCATCAAATAACTCTGAGTGTCAGAAAGTTCTTCCTGATGTTTAGTCAGAATCTCCTTTCTTGTAACTTGGATCCACTGGTTTGGGTCCTGCCTACAGAGCAGGAGAAAACAAACTTGCTCCATGTGACAGCCCTTGAAATATATTTTAAGATGGCTACCATATCTCCCTCTCAGTCTCCTTTCCAGGCTAAACATATCCAGCTCCTTCAACCATTCCTCATAAGGCTTGGTTTCCAGACCCATGATCTTGATTGCCCTCCTCTGCACACATTCCATCTTATCTATATCCCTTGTGGCAACCACAACTGGACACAGTATTCCAGGTGTTGTCTGACCAAGGCAGAGGAGAATGGGATTGTGACTTCCTTTGACTGGATTGTTGATGCAGCCTAGAATAGCATTACCTTTTTGGCTGCTCTGCATCACACTGTTGACATGTTACACTTGTGGTCTTCTAAGACCCCTAGATGCTTTTTCACATGTATTACTGGCAATCCAGGTGTCCCCCTCATCTTATGTGTGTGCAGGTCATTCTTCCTCCCTAAGTGTACAACCTTACATTTGTCCCTACTGAAGAAAGGGACTCCTCTGCACACAAAGAGTCCCTGGCCTAATAGATACAAGAGCCTTTGTTTGGCTGGGTAAATTGATAACGGTTGATGTGCCCACATTGTTCTGTAGCCACACTAGAATCCTACAGCTTTCATAGACTTAAGTTGTAAAGCCTTCTTTATTTGTAAAATCAGATATGCCATGCAGTTCAAATTTATCTGCATTATTGAGACAAAAACTGAAATCCTCAATTTCTGCTTGGCCTTCTTTCTCTTTAAGGGAGGGTTACCCTTTCTTCAGGACTAAGGAAAAAAATACAAATATGGCTTTGGTATGTCACTGCAGTTCTAGAAAGTTTCTCAGATGCTCTGACTCAAGTCACAGACTATTAACAGGCCACGCAATTCCCTTGTCCATCCCCTCAACTCCAGGCCAGGGAATTAGCAGCAGAGACGCAGCTGGTTCAGTCCAAAATATAAACTATAGCAGGATTGCTGGAAGAAAATTTACATTTTCTTGCGTGTGGTTCTCCCACTTCTGTTTAGCACTAAATCATGTAATCACCATCAGGAACAGCCCAACAAATATCTGTGGTCCTGCCAAGGCGTGACCTCGTGATTTTTCCACTACCTTTCTTTACAAGACAGAAGCAGATTCCTTGCTGAGGAAAACCTAAGATGAACCTTGTTAAGTCTTGCAAATACCTTTAACCTGGGTTACTGCAAAACTTACATATATATATATATTCCATATCTTATTTGAAAATACTACAACTGCACTAGATCAGACAAGCACATCCCCCTGATTTTACTTCTGAATTGTTGATTTCGGCATTCCAGAAGGTAAATAGTGCATTATAAATGAGGCCCAATTAGGATAATTGGATTCCTTCTTTCTAGCTATGCTCTCCCAATTAGAAATTAGAAACTATCGGCGGAAGAACCTTGTGTTTTAACAGATTGTTGCTTTCAGTTGGGACTGCCTTGTTCACTTTTAAGAGCAGCTGTCAGAATTAATGATTATTCCTCAACAACGCTGGCAGCTGTTCAGAGATCCTTATCCAAAGTGTGTGCTATCCTGTTCTAGTCATAACTCCAGCTAGCAATCAAACCAGGCTTTTCTTTCTTTCTTTTTGGTTCGGAGGTGGCAGTTCCCCTCCCTCGGGGACTTTCGTTTTTGTTTTATAGCAGGAGGTGAGTCCTGTATATAAAGGGAACAAACTTTGTGGTTCAATATTTAGTCCTCTTCCACACTGAGCTCAGAACCACCCACAGGAGCCATGGGCTGCCTTGTCAATCAAGCTTTAGAAAGAGCCACCCACAGTCATGGGGAACTTTTGAAGCCTTCAGCATTGAGAGCCGAGCTCGCTGGCAAACAGTTCTGTAGGGGGAGGCAGGAGTGGGAGCTGGGCTGCATTATTCTCACTTCCGTGCGCTGGGCCCTTGCACACCTCCCCCTCTTGTACAATTAGCTAATGAGTAGGTAAGAGTCCACTCTGCCAAGCTCTACAATCCCTATGCAGTTTTATAACAAGCAAAGCACTCAGCTAAACACCGCCCTCCCTCTCCCCCCCTTGCCCTCCCCCCGTACAACAAATCATGACTATAAATGAGGGACGTCAAGCATGATAAAATCCGTCTGAGTTACTGTTCAGGGCGATGTAATTGTAGATTAATGCACTGCAAACTCCTAATAATTAGAGAGCTATGTGGCATTTTCTCACGCTATTCCAGAACTGGTCAAATCAGTGGCGTAGCGTGGAGGGTGCAGGGGGGGGCCGGCCGCACCGGGCGCAACATCTGGGGGGGGCGCTCACACTCGAGTGCTAAAATCCACGGGTTAGGGGGCGCAAATTACTTGCCTTGCCCCGGGTGCTGACAACCCACGCTACGCCACTGGGTCAAATGTTGCTCAGAAAAGCTTGCTCTCGGAATCATGGTGAAATGGACGGTGGGTTTTCTTTTTGTGATCTGTCTGCATATTCAGAATGCTTTCCTTTTTCAAACAAAGGTTTGCTAAGACTGCTTCATTCCCTGTTTATCGTTCAAAGCATTTTGAAATGTATCCATTTCACGTTGGCTTACTTCAGACAGTGGTTGAAGCCAATTTGGAAATGGCATCTGATTCTCAAATATTCAGATTTTGTCTTGGAGTTATTCATAATGGAGATGGAGTAAAGGAGCTCATCTAGGCAGGCGAAATAAAAAAAATTAAGGTTATATATATATATATGAGATATATCTCTCATATATATATATGAGATATATCTCTCATATATATATATATCAAATAAATGTTCATAACTGCACATATAAACCACATGTCTGAAACCCCACAGAAAAAGTCCTGAAACCATTTTGTCCCTCCCAAATTGACCTCAAATATTTCTCTGCAAGGTCAAAGGAAAATGGAAAAGCCTCCCCATTGTCTTTTTGTTCACAAATCCTGTCTTAAGGGTATGTCTGTGTATGAATAGGGTAAGCCTGTGACCTGGCTCAGGAACTAAGTATTTGTCATTACAAAAGACTAGCCAGGTTCCCCAGGGTATCCACTCAAGTGACCATTAACAGGTCTGCCAGACAGGAGATAAACAACACACTCAGATTTCTGTTGTAGACCACCCTTTCTGTGATGTAGGTATGATGTATCTGTGGGGTGGTCTTGAGCTACACCCCTTCTGTGATGTATGTATGATGTTTCTGGGGGTGGTCTTGGACTCCAGGGTGGGCAATTTAAAATGTCTATATAAGGGTGGGCACAGCTTTGTTTGGCGTCCTCCTCCTTCTCCTGCGTGTGAAGGGGGCACCATGTTGCAACAGTTCAATAAAAATCAGGCTTACTAGCTGCTTTGCTTCTCAGTATTCTCTGGCTGACCTCTGCTATTCTCTCTGACCGATGGAGAACCTACAAAGGACTCTATACAGGCTCTTGTGTTCCCCATAAGGGAATAAGGGCAGATTTTTGTTTATTATACAGGGAAATGTTTTTTAAATTAGAGCTTGATCCCTAACGATTTTGGAGAAAGCCATGTTATGGCTGTTAGGGGCAGGGGGTGTTGCTGGGACATGAGCCTGGGATTGTGTACAACTGCCCCATAGGACATTTAGGTCAGTAGCTTAACACATGGGGCAGCGGCACACAACCACCCATCTCCAGGCTCCTAACTCAACAGACCACCCAAAACCTGGTCCCCATCCACATTATACATTTAAAGCAGTGTCATATCACTTTAAACAGTTGTGGGTTCCCCCAAAGAATCCTGGGAACTGTAGTCTGTGAAAGGGGAATTGTAGCTTTGGGAGGGGTCTCTTAACAGCTCTCAGCACCCTTGACAAACCACAGTTCCCAGGATTCTTTGGGGGAAGGAAAGATCCGTAACTGCTAAGGTGGCATAAGAGTGCTTTAAATGGGTTGGCCATAATGGCTGAGAACACAGTGGTTTGTCTGAAGGAGGAATCTGCCCTTGAGATTCTCATGAGGTCCGGATCATGAAAGAAATGGGGAACTTGTTTTCTACCCTAGTTTCTACCCCAGTACGTTTACGAACACAATTCAAAGTGTTGGTGCTGACCTTTAAAGCCCCAAACGGACTCGGCCCAGTATACCTGAAGGAGCGTCTCCACCCCCATTGTTCAGCCTGGACACAGAGATTCATCTCCAAGAGCCTCCTGGAGGTTCCCTCAATGCGAGATGTGAGGTTGCAGGGAACCAGGCAGAGGGCCTTCTCAGTAGTGGCGCCCTCCCTGTGGAATGCCCTCCCATCAGATGTCAAGGAAATAAACAACTACCTGACTTTTAGAAGACATCTGAAGGCAACCCTGTTTAGGGAAGTTTTTAATGTTTGATGTTTTATCATGTTTTTAATATTCTCTTGAGAGCTGCCCAGAGTGGCTGGGGAAACCCAGCCAGATGGGTGGGGTTTAAATAATAAATTATCATTATAAGTGGTGGTGGTGGTGGTGGTGGTGGTGTTTAGCCATTATCGTTCATGAACATGTGGCCTATCATTGGCATGGTTTATATTAAAAAATAAACTTTTTTTAAAAAGGTCCCTAGTTAATGTGACTCCTTTTCAGTTGATCTTTTTAACAAGTAATCTAATCCATGAATCAACTGCAGCCCAAGCAGTTAGGATGCTGGTCACATGACCAGCATCCACACACAATATCCTGGGGCTGCTGTCACCACCAGTTACACCCTCTGAAGTGCCCAGTCTTGGAGCTGGTTCTCTATGGTCAATTTTCAACATAGAAGGGATGGGGGGGTAGTACCTGTAGCCCTCCAGATGCTGCCAGATTCCAACACCCGCCAACCTAAGCCATGAGAGATGGTGTGAGTTGTAGTCCAACAACATCTGTGGGGGCCAAAGTATAGAAACGGCTCATTTGAAAGGACATTCAGTAGACTGGGCCTTATCCTTAATTTCCTTCCCAAAAAGATGTTTAGCTGCTGTTAGCCATGATAGTTAAGAACTTCCATAATTAAAGGTGGCATAACTCACATTAGTAGATAGTGGGAATACACGAGTAGGGTAGAGTAGTACTGGAGTAGTATGGAAGTGAGAGCTGGACCATAAAGAAGGCTGATCGCCAAAGAATTGATGCTTTTGAATTATGGTGCTGGAGGAGACTCTTGAGAGTCCCATGGACTGCAAGAAGATCAAACGCATCCATTCTTAAGGAAATCAGCCCTGAGTGCTCAATGGAAGGACAGATCCTGAAGCTGAGGCTCCAATACTTTGGCCACCTCATGAGAAGAGAAGACTCCCTGGAAAAGACCCTGATATTGGGAAAGATGGAGGGCACAAGGAGAAGGGGACGACAGAGGACGAGATGGTTGGATAGTGTTCTTGAAGCTCCCAGCATGAGTTTGACCAAACTGCAGGAGGCAGTGGAAGACAGGAGTGCCTGGCATGCTCTGGTCCATGGGGTCACGAAGAGTCGGACATGACTAAATGACTAAACAACAACAAAGAGTAGTATTTGTTTGTGAGCTTCCAGAGATACCTGTTTGAGTTGCCACTAGTCAAAGATGCTAAACCATATGGACCTTGAGTAGTCATATCTGTCCGTGTCTATGATGGAGGGAAATAAATTAGGCTTTTTTGGTTCATTAAGCTGGGAAGAACACAGTGAAGAAAACAATCTCCTAAACAGCTTAATTCCTGAGCTAGCTTACACATGGTGGTGAAAAACACTCGGAATGTCTTTTTGAAAGCAAAAGAGCAAAACCCCTAGCTATAACTGTAAGAAGAAAAAGCCTTTAGTGCACTGAGTGTTTGTGCTATCACAACTTTCCTGTTGTTGTTTGAGGGGGGAACTAATCACTGCTAGAAAGCTTATGTAACAGAAGCTCTCAAAAGCAACCCATTTGGCCAACTCCACCTTAGCAGCGGGGTTGGAGAAAATTGCAGAGAAAGAAACTGATTGCTCTGCTTCTACCCTTGAACTTAGCCCAAAAGGCCGGTGATTGTTCTGCTTCTGAAGATGAATGTTGTATTGACTGGGGGAGAAAATGTACTAGCTCCAAACCTATGGAAATATAATAGGTGTAAGCTGGCCTCAGGGTCTTAATCTGACACAAAGTCTAGTTTCTTTAGAATGTGCCTCATTTTCTTCCATGGATTGGAACAAATGGTCTTCAACCTGGGTTGCTAGTTGCTATACACACACACACGACAATGGAATGTGTAACTTAGACAAAAAGAATCCTGACTGTGAGCCATGGGGACTTGCGCTCGGCAAAAATAGACCCTGTTCCCATTTCCAAAGAGTTCTGCTGGCTTCCAGCTGCCATCCCCATAAGCAGGTGCCGTGAAACAATAACTCCGTGGTCACATTTCCTAAACGCCCTAGTTGGAAGCAGCGAAGCTTTGCTCAGTAACAGATCTTGAACTCTCTGGAAGTCCCAGTGTTTATATACAAGAGGGAAAGGGATGGACGTCTGTGGTCTACCAATCTTCCTGCTCCTTGGACCAGGTAAATCATTTCAACCAGCAGTATAATTTTGATGTGGCTTCTGCCTCGTTGCAATGAGTGTGTGTGTGTGTGTGTGTGTGTGTGTGTTATAGATGGAGAGAGCATGTGTTTACAAAGATAAGATTCTTCCTATAGCTTTATGATGAGCTTTAGCTGAACGCAGTTTTATATATATGTTGGAGATCTTTTCCCCAACCCCAAACGGCAACCAGAAAAGAATGAAATATGAGGGGTAAAACTAACAATAAGCTTCAGTGGAAAAAAACAAAATAAAAAAACACTAAATAATAAATAACAAAAAAGAAGAATAAATATGATGTTTTTAAAATGTATGTGGGGACATGAAATAAATACGGTAAAGCTTAAAGTATAATATAATATGGTGAATGTTTTTCCTCTATTTGTACAGAAGTTTGATATGGAAGCAGAACTGATTGGCAGCTCCATGTGTTGCCAAAAGACTGTTAATGGGTCTTAAACGTACCCTCTGAAATGTTAGACCTTTCCGGTCTGCAGAAGAAATAGGAGATGGTTTGTTTTCTGAGATACAGACATCCGCATTCTTTAAGAGCAGCATTTGCAGTCATAAATAGGATCCTCCATGTCCCTTTTTAAACAGCATGAACAACTTATGAATGGTGAAACTCCTCGGGATTCTAGTTCATTCAAAAAAAGATGTAGACGTTCCACCAAAGGTCTTGTGGTAAACTGCAGCTTCTGCCCAATGCACACTTAACTGTGAGTAATCCTCACTAAATTTGATGGGATTTGTCATGGAGTAAACGTGCATAAGATTGGGCTGTGTCTTTGTACGACCATAGTACTATCTCCTTCTAATCATCGACTTTCCACAACATTTGTAAAGCAAACAAAAAAAAAAGCAAAACCGTGGTTTAAGAAGTTGGATTTACTTCTTTAAGCCTTCTTAAACCAATTACCACAGACAGAGCCTTCCTCTGACCATTATTCCCCTTCTTTCCTCCCAGTGTATCCTCTTGCTCCTCCGCACCACTGCAAATGGCCCCTTTAACTCCAGCCACACCACCTGTCCCCTCTTCAAGTCCTCCTCCTCTTCAACTTTCTCCCTCCAATATCACTAGCAGCCTAAAACTGTCACGCACACCTCCTTCCCTCTTATTTCTTCAAATGCCCCCTTTACCCCCAGCTTCACTTGCCCCTCCCCAATTCCTTCTCTTTCCCTCTGGCCTGCCACCAGAGGACTACACCTGTTGTATTAACCTGCCCTTGCTCACTTCTGCACCCCCCTCCCATTAGCACACTGTTTTCACAGAGCAGCCTGCCTTTGGAACCTTGGAAAACAGACAATAAAAACAGAGCGACGACACTTTACAATTTTATTATATAGTCAGATAAGATGTGAATTGGGCATAGGTGGAGGAGGAAGCTTGAAAACTCTAACACTGAACATCTATTTCTCCAGAGAGTGGCATCTCTACGTCCCCAGATAGAAAGCCTCAAAATTCAGCTCACCCCTCCTTCTGCAGTTTTCTCAGTCTCCCTACTTCAAAACTATCTCAGAATGCAGGTGTACTTTATGGCAAAAGGTATGTTCCCATTTAGCACACAACAGTACAGAAGTTTCCAGCTTTTTCCTAGCTATTCACAATGCATCTATTAGTCATTTAGCCAGCAATTTCAGTCACAAAAGAAGGTAAACCCAGGCTTTGCCAGCAGATTTGCCCAACTTTTATCAGACTTTCTGGACCCATTAATGCTTTTCTGTCCAAACTCCAGACTCTTTTACAGGAATAGGATGAAATAATAGTAATTTTGCAACACCAAATTAACAAGTCTTGCTCTATATTGTCCTGCAGTTGTTCTGGTCCTGGGTTCTGATCATGAAACTCGTCTGGTTGCCGATTTATTTGAGCATTATAACAAAGTTATTCGTCCAGTAAGCAACCACTATGAAAGTGTTAACGTTACCGTTGGACTACAGCTTATCCAGTTGATCAATGTGGTATAGTACAAATTTAAATTATTCCATTATTATTGTTAGTTGTAGTAGTAATAAGCAGTAGTTTTAATTATTTTAAGGGTGTAATGTTTAATTGATTAGTCGGTTATAAACAGTTTAACCAACTAAAATGGTGCACCCCTTTAACTAGGCAGCAGATTGTGTGTATGTGTGTTTTTATGTAGGGTTGGATCTGGGCTAAATCAGTTGAACTTAGTCCCCTTTGATATCAATGTGACTTAAATAATATCTAGCCTGTTCCATTGATTCCAATGGGAATTAAGTTCAAGTAACTTGGGATTTTGTCCAACGAAGTTGTCCCAAAGTTATCAAGTGGAAATGTGTGCAGGTCTAACCAACAGACAACTTGGCTAACCATTGAAAGCTTTCCATGATGTCTACTCAACATTGTCCTCATCAAAATATAACCCCCCAACAAGCTACAAGAATTTGCTGAAACGGCGCAGTTAACAAATACCCTGAGAGGCAATTCAAAACAAAAATTTGTGGAAAAGTGGGATAGTTATAAAACATATGTTCAAAAATACAGTAAAGGTTCGCTATCTATGCTAGCATTTGTTTGACGTTGGAGTGAGACCGAGTTGAGAAATAAGACTAAGAGCACATATTGACATAGGAATGTATTAGAGAATATGTAAAGAAATATACAATAATAAGAGTACATTCATTTGTAAAAAAGGAATATACAACGGAAAAGACAGGAAGTCTAGTGCGTTGGTATGTATATGATTTTGGGGGGAAATTGTTTTTGTTTTTTCTCCTTGTTCTTTCTTTTTTTTTGTTCTAGGTATATAAAATTTGTATATAATTTTTGTATACATGTTGGAAATTATATTATAGTAAGTCCTGTAATGTAATATGACAACGTTTACTGATGTAATTTAAGAATGTTAACAAATAAATAAAATGCAAATTAAAAAAAACAACAAATTTAACATTCCTGTAGGGTATTTCTGCAGCACTGAGTCCACAATAAAGTGCCCTTATACAGTGTCATCAGTGTACAATGAAAACACATTTAAAGCACATGGCTTCCCGTAAATAATTCCGGGAACTGTAGTTTTCCCATCATAGAGCTACAGTTCCAAGCACCCTTTACAAACAGCTCCTGGGTTTTTTCAGGGACAGTTGCATGCTTTAAGAGTACGACATGTATGCAGACTAAAACAAAGCAGGCATTTACAATCTACATTTTGATAGTGGGAAGAAAGGAATAGGGTGGAAAAGTCAGGAATAGTAGCAGATAGCTATTTACCAGTAAGTCTTACTGTACATTTTGCCTGCTAAGATCTCTCCCCTTAATCTTAGTGTTTTGCTCTCTTAAGGATGAAGTGAATCAGATTGTAGCAACCAACGTGCGTCTAAAACAGGTAATTCTTTGTCACCCTTTTCATTAATCTACTGCACATTTAACAAGCTTGTCTGTTTGTTCACTATGCATTTGGACGTCTTGCCAATCTTGCACGATGGGGACAGGTTTTCATCTATTTTGGGATGAAATTAGATGCCATTTTGAATCAAGATGGCAGACTTAACCTTTCAGAACTGCACTGATTTTAACTATACAGGCCACCACTTTCACACCATGCATTTAAGGTGACGCCACATTAACCAGTCATGACTTCCCCCAAAGAATTCTGGGAGCTGTAGTTCAGGAGTGCTGAGAGTGTTGTTAAGAGACACACACATTTCCCTCACAGAACTCCCTGCAGTTCCCAGAGTTCCCTGTGAAGAAGGATTGATTGTTACAGCACTCTGGGAAATTCTAGCTCGGGGGTTAGGCGTCTTTTAAAAACTCTCAGTACCCTTAACAAACAACAGCTCCCAAAATTCTTTGAGAGAAGACACGACTAGTTAAAGTGGTATCATAGCACCTTAAATGTATGGTGGATGTGGGCAGAGAATTGCTGATAACGGGTACATACAGGTACCTGTATTCATTCTCAAAAAGGAAATGGCCATATTAGTTTCAAGCAATTATTCCAGTTACTTTGAACACAGGGCAAAAGTTGCAGAATTTTTTCACCCTATAAAATAAGTGCTCTGTTTTAGGCTTAGATTCAACACTAGAGGAAAGAGTTGTTTGGGGTGTTTGTTTGTTTTTAAACTCTCTTAAATTCATTTTCTAGCAATGGAAAGATGTAAACCTGAAATGGAAGCCAGAAGATTATGGTGGTGTGAAACAAATTCGCATCGCCTCAAGCGAACTCTGGCGTCCAGACTTGGTTTTGTACAACAAGTAAGTAAGGTTCTTTCATGTTAATTGTTCAGCAGTCACATAGCAAGGCTGCAAATGAGTCCAAGTGCTGTATGTGACTATGTAATTGCGATGAGAGCATTTCTCCCCAGTAGCTCCAACTAACTTTAGCCAATTGGTCTAAACCACAGAGCCTAGAGCTTGCCAATCACTGTGACGGGGTGAGCTCCATTGCTCGGTCCCTGCTCCTGCCAACCTAGCAGTTCAAAAGCATGTCAAAGTGCAAGTAGATAAATAGGTACCGCTCCAGCAGGGAAGGTAAATGGCGTTTCCGTGCACTGCTCTGGTTCGCCAGAAGCGGCTTAGTCATGCTGGCCAAATGACCCGGAAGCTGACGCTCCCCGGCCAATAAAGCGGGATGAGCGCCACAACCCCAGAGTCAGTCACGACTGGACCTAATGGTCAGGGGTCCCTTTACCTTTAAGAACTGCTTTGTTTTGCATAATTCCTGATGCTACCCATGGCTGCCATGGGCACTTACAGGCTGGCAGATAAGGGTCTGCAAGAGGAACACTAGGGCAAAGCTAAGGAACTTGTGACTTTCCAGAGGTTTTCAGATTCAAGGCACCATCAGTCCCAGCCAGCATATTCAATGGTCAGGAGGTGCAGAAGCTGTCATCCAGACACATTTGAGGGATGACTTAGGTTCCAACTGCATGTGAGGATGAAGAAATTTGGGTCACAGAGGTAGAAGAATATTCAGGTTTACTCATCAGTGGCCACGATCATCTCCCTGAGATGAGACCCATCACTGTACAAATTAAGCTTAGTATAGGCACATCAGATGGGCACACCAAGGCCAAATGGTGGACAATTGTAGTTGAATAAATTTTTATCAGATGAATGGATTTATTGTTTTGACATGAGTGTCAATTTGACTTGCTTTGTTGTACTGAATATTCTGATCGTTTTGTTTTGCTGGTGGGGGTTGAGATGCTCTTGTGTTGGCTGTTGCAGCTTTGGGCTTCATTTGGGAAGAAAAAGTGAAATATAAACCCTATGTGCTATGAAAAAAATTTTGCCAAAGAACTGGAAAGGGCAGACAGGAAGTTCCTGTCTCCGACTTCTGTTCCCCCCCCCCAACATGTCTTCAAGCAGATGCAAGACATTTGCTGTATTTCAAATCAAACAAGAAACACAATATGGAGTAGTAGTTTTGCATTTGGTTGGTGTGACCGGGTTAGCCCACGTTCAACACTGGAAACTGCATATTATATCTGTACAGTGGTACCTCGGGTTAAGTACTTAATTCATTCTGGAGGTCCATACTTAACCTGAAACTGTTCTTAACCTGAAGCACCACTTTAGCTAATGGGGCCTCCTGCTGCTGCCGCCGCACGATTTCTGTTCTCAACCTGAAGCAAAGTTTTTAACCTGAAGCACTATTTCTGGGTGAGCGGAGTATGTAACCTGAAGCATATGTAACCTGAAGCGTATGTAACCTGAGGTACCACTGTATAGAACTCCATTAACCCTCAGCCTTCCCAAAGTTGTTGGTAGCTGCAGTGTCTCATTTGCTAGTGAAAATGAATAGGATTCACAGCACTGGTGTTCATCTCTTTCCTTTTACAGTGCAGATGGAGATTTTGCTATCGTCCAGGATACCAAAGTACTCTTAGACTATACAGGTCACATTACTTGGACTCCTCCAGCCATTTTCAAAAGCTACTGTGAAATTATAGTCACCCACTTTCCATTTGATGAGCAGAACTGTAGTATGAAGTTGGGCACATGGACATACGATGGCACAATGGTCGCCATCTTTCCGGTAGGTAATATCTGGGCATATGAGACAAGGACCAGGGTCCAAAGGCCCTTTGTGTTTTGGTATTGAGGAATGGGGCCCTTATGCTGGAAGAGAGTTCCTCTGTGTTCCTACTTTGGAGGACAGTCCTGTGCTTGAAGGGCTTTTGAAGCTTCCCTAGGTGTCAAAAGTCATTTGTCTTCATTGGCAAAGCCGCTTAAATAATGCAGACAGAGCCCAGAGAGAAAAGAAATCCTGATAACACTGAACAAAAGCAGCACATAATCTGAGGAGAAAAGGACAGGGAGTTTTTGTCTGCCTTGTATATGGCAAGGAGACGCCCAACCAAGCGTACAGAGAGCACTCCCTCAGAACTCCTCATGTGTTACCTCAGCAAACCGTCATGCCACTCTCCTTGGTTGCTAAGCAAACACCTCCACCCCATACTTCTCTTAGCTAGCTGACTTCAATACTAACAGAATTAACCTTTTGGTGCCCCAAACCTGTGGCTTACCTGGTGGCAAGTCTCCGGTCAAGGGACAATCCACATGTCCAAATTCCCTCAGAGATCCCAGAGCATCCAGACTGAGGCCCATCAACATGGGCAGTTGAGGAGTCACAGCACTCAGCTCTGCTTCCCTGTTGGACTTTGCAGGCTGATTGCAGCACCTGGGCCTGATGAGGCAGATGACCCTCACCTGTTCCAAGGGAGGAATCACACTCCTCCTCCCAGAGCTAGCGAGCCCCACCTGGCCAGGTAGGGAGATGGGCTGTGGGCCCTTGCCTGCCTCAGCCTCCTGGAGCACCACTGCTCCCTATGCCCCTCTGGCTCTGGTGATGGGTCCTGCTGCTCTGGTTTCTTCACCCTGATCTTCCTTCACCCTATGAGCCCTTCCTACGCCAACCTCTTCTTCCCAACCCCAACTTGCCCCGGTGTGTCCCAGTCCCGGCTACACCCTTCACTGCCATCCTGATCCTCCTTTTCCTCCTCCCCGTTGTCCTGCCAGTTTGTGGCATTAGGTTGCAAACTGACTGTTCCCTGCTGTTGCACTTCCAGCTGTCTTGTTGTATTGAGGGATGGGGGCAGGCAGCAATTCAAGAATCCTAAGACCTTGTTAGACTCATGGAATGAGACGCACAGCTTTTTGGAAACCTCATTGGATATCTGTGCCAAGCTGCTTTTATTCATCTTTGCTACTTGTGAAAAGTTCTAACTTTTTAAATATTTATTTTCTTCTTCTTCTTTTCTTTTTTGCTGGGGGGGAGAGGTAGCACCCCCCTATACACACACACACCCCTTCATATATTTGCATGATATATTGTTTGGTGTGTGGAGTTTATTTAGGTAGGGGAATTTTTTTTTGAAGCATATAGTTATACAAGCTGCATGGCTCTTTATTTTTCAAGTGTTCTTTTAAACACTGTGCATAGGGGGAAATTACATATTGTTATCAGTTTCTTATGCAGTTTCTGTCAGCGGGGCTACCATGTGGGTTGCTCTGAGGAAATACCTGGCTGGCCCACAGATGTGGAAAAAGAGTGTGAATAGCCTGGAGATGTGTTTCCATGGGAACTAACTGTCTCTCCATTTTTCTTAAGTTTTCTTAATGGGTAGGAAATAACTGAAAGATTTTGGGAAGGGCAGATCTTCCTCTTTCCCAGCTGCTATATACACCATGTGTTCAAAGCGCATGGCTTCCGCAGAGAAGCTTGGGGGTTGTAGTTTCTTAAGGGTGCCGGGAGCTATAGCGCCATGAGGAGTACACTGTGGCCCCCAAGATTCTGTGGGAAGCAATGTGCTTCGATTGTATGATGTGCCATTTTAGACCAAAGCACAAAGAGCAGAGTTTGGGCTCTGAAAACCTTTTAAGGGACTCTCTTTCTGGAGATTGGATGTGGGAGCAGTGAACTTTTGACCCACCTACGCTCAGCCTATACATTTGCAAATAAATAACTATATTACAAAAATGCCATTACCCTCGCAAACGAAACCAAACCTTGGTAAACCCTGGGTCCCTGTAACTTCTTGCCCCCTCAGAAAAACAGGCTAAGTGTTTATTTTATTCTGACAACAAAAGGAGATATTGATTTTACAGCATTTAAATGGAAACGAATGTTTCCTGAATGTAAAGGAGCATCGGGCCTTAGTTATATGTTAATGGCGTTCATCCTCCTTTCAGGAAAGTGACCGCCCAGATCTGAGTAACTTCATGCCCAGCGGAGAATGGATCATGAAAGATTACCGAGGCTGGAAGCACTGGGTTACCTACGCCTGCTGCCCTGACACACCTTACCTGGACATCACCTATCACTTTGTGTTGCAGCGGTTGCCTCTCTACTTCATCGTCAATGTCATCATCCCTTGCCTCCTCTTCTCTTTCCTAACCGGATTAGTGTTTTACCTGCCTACAGATTCAGGTATGTGGGATACAGTGGTACCTTGGGTTACAGACGCTTCAGGTTACAGATGCGTCAGGTTACAGACTCCGATAACCCAGAAATAGTACCTCGGGTTAAGAACTTTGCTTCAGGATGAGAACAGAAATCACGCGGCGGCAGTGGGAGGCCCCATTAGCTAAAGTGGTACCTCAGGTTAAGAACGGTTTCAGGTTAAGAATGGACCTCCAGAACGATGGAAGTTCTTAACGTGAGGTACCACTGTACTGTGACTCACAGCCAGGGGGAACAACCTGCCCTCTTCTGGCCTACCTTGATTATTCATCTGTTTTGATGCGGCTTAGGAAATTACATGGTAGCTTGTCCCTTAATTTGGCTTCCCCGTTGGAGAAGTAGTTTTATCTGTTATCGGCCATTGCGAAAGCCTCTCTCTGCCTCTTATCCCATCTGATTCACATCATATATATATATATATATATATATGCTTTCGTAGATTTTCACGGGTACAGGAATGCAGGTTTTGGTGTCCTCGGGTGTCTTCCCGTGTAAAAGTTGGGGTGTCTAGGCGACGTTTCGACGAGGTCTCACTCGTCATCTTCAGGCTGGTGCTTTCGGCTTCTTGTTACTGGAACAGAGCAGGATCTCAGTGTTTGAGTTCTCAGTGTTTGAGTTCCTATAAATACTGTTGAGGGGGTGTGGTGTATAGCCTCCAATGTTCTGTATGTATATATAGGAGGGCACACACAGGAAGGGGACAGTTGGAGGTGGGAGGTCCCTGCAAAAAAGGCAAGGTAGGAAGGATCTCTCAGGGTGGGAGACTAGCAGAAAAATAATTTAATAATAATAATAATAATAATAATAATAGGAGGAGGAGGAGGAGGATTTTATACCCTGATCATCTGACTGGGTTTCCCCAGCCACTCTGGGCAGCTCCCAACAAAATATTAAAAACACAATAAAACATCAAACATTGAAAACTTCTCTAAACAGGGCTGCCTTCAGATGTCTTCTAAAAGTCAGATGCAGTGGTACCTCTGGATACGAACGTTTATGGTTGCGCACGCGTTGGGTTATGAGCTGCGCCAACCTGGAAGTACCGTATTTTTCGCTCTATAAGATGCACCAGACCACAAGACGCACCTAGTTTTTGGAGGAGGAAAACTAGAAAAAAGATATTCTGAATCTCAGAAGCCGGAACAGCAAGAGGGATCGCTGCGCAGTGAAAGCAGCAATCCCTCTTGCTGTTCTGGCTTCTGGGATAGCTGCGCAGCCTGCATTCGCTCCATAAGACGCACACATTTCCCCTTACTTTTTAGGAGGGAAAAAGTGAGTCTTATAAAGCAAAAAATATGATAGTTGCTCCCGGATGCGAACTTTGCCTCGGGATGTGAGTGGAAGCACAGCAGGAGGCGCGCTTTCGCTAATGGCACCTCATGCTAAGATCAGTTTCAGGATGAGAATGGACCTCCGGAACGAATTAAGTTCGTAACCAGAAGTACCACTGTAGTTGTTTATCTCCTTGACATCTGATGGGAGGGCGTTCCACAGGTCGGGCGCCACTACCGAGAAGGCCCTCTGCCTGGGTAAGTAAGCACCCAGATGAGAGCTGGGGGAATCTGCCTCGCTGTGTGTGGGTAAACGATATGATATTCACGACATAAATGTGATAAAGGGTCTTTTTTCGTTATACTTCCGCTATTCTTTTCTCTTTTTCTTTTTCCTATCCAGTTGTGTTTTTGTATTTTCTTATAAATGAGTTTGAGTATAAACAGATAAGGACATACGCAGGATTATTGTAATAACCTGCCAGGTTTTTTTAAGAGCGTATATTTAAAGTAGATGAATAAATGAGCAAATTAAGTTACATTTGGATATGCTGAAAATATTAAAAAAATAAATTTAAGGAACTGCAGAAAGAGGGGGGAAGGAGTCAAGTTTCGAAAAGTTAAAATGATTATAAAATTACTGAAATGTATAAAATTGAAAATTATAAATAAAATAATTCAAATTAATACTAAAAAATGAGTTTGAGTGTTTAATATGTTTAAGATTTTTTAAAGAAAATGTTATTAAATCACGTTCTTTGTTTACTCTTTGTCACAGGGGAGAAGATGACTCTGAGCATTTCTGTCCTGCTCTCTTTGACGGTGTTTCTTCTGGTCATTGTGGAGCTGATTCCTTCCACTTCTAGCGCAGTGCCCTTGATTGGCAAATACATGCTGTTCACCATGGTCTTCGTCATAGCTTCCATCATCATCACTGTCATTGTGATCAATACCCACCACCGGTCTCCAAGTACTCACACGATGCCACAGTGGGTGAGGAAGGTGAGATGAGCTATAGTTGGGTTGCCGTATTTCAAAGAGTGAAAATGTGGACATGGGCTGCCATATCTATGGGTTTTCCCTGGACATTTCAGCAATTTTCGCCTAGACGCTGCTTAAGGGGACTGAATACTGGCTATGTCCTGAAAATTCCGGACGTACAGCAACCCTAAGCTATAGTCAGAAACATGTCCCCTGGAACAGTTGCAAAGCTCAGAAGAGAACACAGGGTTAAGAGAAAAGGCTGGGCTGGGCTTGCTGCCTCGGACCTGGTGGCATTTATTATAGCAAAAATGGGGAGAACCTGAGACCCTCCAGCCTCCAACTCCCATCAGCCCCTAGCCAGCATGGCCCCAGGGGTCATGGATGATGGGAGTTGTACTCCAGCAACATCTGAAGGGCCATCCCTGCTTTACAGGATAAAGATTGACAAAGTGTTGGTAAAACGTAAAGGGACCCCTGACCATTAGGTCCAGGCGTGACTGACTCTGGGGTTGTGGCGCTCATCTCGCTTTATTGGCCGAGAGAGCCGGCGTACAGCTTCCGGGTCATGTGGCCAGCACTGACTAAGCAGCTTTTGGTGAACCAGAGCAGCACATGGAAACGGCATTTACCTTCCCGCTGGAGCGGTACCTATTTATCTACTTGCACTTCGACGTGCTTTCGAACTGCTAGGTTGGCAGGAGCAGGGACCGAAAAACGGGAGCTCACTCCGTCGTGGGGATTCAAACCGCCGGCCTTCTGATTAGCAAGTCCTAGGCTCTGTGGTTTAACCCACAGCGCCACCCGCGTCCCCAACAAAGTGTTGGATCTGGGTTCAAATCCTAATTCACCCATGGCCCTGTCTTATGTCTCCAAGGTACCAGTTTAATTTCAGTTTTCAAGATGGGAAAACCATAGCTTTAACTATGTGGACCTTTGTCGGCAAGGTGATGTATCTGCTTTTTAAGCTACTGTCTAGGTTTGTCATCACTTTCCTCCCAATAAGCAGGCGTCTTTTAGAAGCTATGAGCTATGCCGTGCAGGGCCACCCAAGACAGACAGGTCATAGTGGAGAGTTTTGACTAAATGTGATCCACCTGGAGCAGGAACTGGCAAGTCACTCCAGTATCCCTGCCAAGAAAACTCCATGGACAGAAATTTAGCCTAGTCTGGACTTAATGGCCTTACAGGGTCTTTAGAGGGGGAATGTGTATTATTTGACATACTTATAAATGTAGTAAGCCTGGCCTGGTGAATTTTGGGGCCTCCTTGTTTTTATAGAATCATAGAGTTGGAAGGGGCCCTGATGATCATCTATTCCAACCCCCTGTCTATTACAGGGATCAAACCTGTAACCTCCTTGTTATCAGCATCATGTTCTAACCAACTAAGCTATACCTCTGTTGTGCTGAATGGGTGACTTCTGCCCCATAGTCCTGTCCTGGTAGCATCACTGCTCACAAATGAATAAAGGGGAGGTGGTCACACTAGTGTAAGTCGAAGGCAATCTGGTTGTGCATAGTTTCTACTGACTCCCGCATCCAGCAACAACCTGTGCTTTTTTTGGAGGCCTCGGCAGGGCTAGGGGAAGGAGTGAAGAAGGAAAGCCCTGTTGGGGCCAGTGGAGGCCCACCCAATACGGATAAGATAATAATAAAAACAACATCTGGATCCTAAACTGATCAAGTCAGCAGAGTTTCAGTTTCACATGCTGATTTGATAACGGTGCATTACTTGGGGTTAGTATCCATCTGTATGTGGTTTCACTTAAATGAGTCTTAAAGATCTGTTCACCTGAAAAACTCAGACAGCTTCCTGGGGCCTCAGGCATCACAAGTAGAAGAAAGCCCAAATCTCAGAAAGGAAACCTTTTTATTCCGAGGCCAAGATGGAGAACATATTTGCCCCTTGTTTTCATTCTGATTTTTTTATTATTAAAAAAAAAGACACTGACTGTAAAACAAATATTAACTTCTTTCAGATTTTTATCGAGACGATTCCGAACGTCATGTTCTTCTCAACCATGAAACGGCCTTCCAGAAACAAGCAGGAGAAAAGGATTTTTACTGAAGACATTGATATTTCTGAAATCTCCGGGAAGCAAAGTCCGGCTGCTGTCAATTTCCAATCGTCGCTCACCAAAAACCCAGATGTGAAAAGTGCTATTGAGGGCATCAAATACATTGCTGAAACAATGAAGTCAGACCAGGAATCCAACAATGTAAGGACCTTTTCCTTCTGTTTTAGGAGATGGGAAGCTTTGGCTTTCTAGATGTTGTAAGACTTCAACTCCCATCAGCCCCTGCCAGCTTGGCCAATGATCAGGGATGATGGGAGTCGTAGTCCAACACCATCTGGCCGGCCACAGCTTCCCCATTTCTGCTGTAATGTCTCTAACACACCTGTTAAAGAATGATAACTAAGAGTTATCAATAGCATGTGAGGTGTTTTTTTTTTTTCTAAAACCTAAGTGCTTCCTAAGTGCAGAGGGGAAGAAAGAACATGTGGGCAAGCAAGAGTGGTTTCAGGATTAAAGATGAAATCCTAAATCAGTGCACGCTTCCTGCAAATTTGGGTTTGTGAGGGCATCCTTTTAAAATAGTCCAGATTTACCATTTAATCTGTTTTAAATGAGTGAACCTGTGCTATTGAAATCTAGACTGTATTCAGGCAAGCAACGGTTTGAGGCTGAGGTGGAGAGAGCTGGCCGGGGTGGCTGGGAAGTGGAGTTCAACAACATCTGGCAATTCCACAGTTTTCCTAGTCCTGGTTTAAGGGATACCATTATTAATCTCCTGGCTATTGTTGTGAGGCAAGCACTGATCTCTGGCAAGGTGAAGCCTGGCACAACTCAAGGCTCAGGCCTGCTATAGAGGAGTCTCTGAGGAAACCTTGTCCTTCTGCGGGACTTGACATCTTTCCGCAGGGCCTGCAAAACAGAGCTGTTCCACCAGGCCTTTGGCCCGGGCACAGCCTGACTCCCTCCCTCGGCAATCTTCGTGGAGCTCTGGCCCAATGGTTGCCAGTGGCTTGAATTAATTAATTTTTATAATGAATGATTTTAGAATGTTGTTTATGCTGTACTTTTGTACTGTTTTATTGTTGTTAGCCGCCCTGAGCCCGGCTTCGGCTGGGGAGGGTGGGATATAAATAAAATTATTTATTATTATTATTATTATTATTATTATTATTATTATTATTATTATTATTATTATTCAGAGTCCTTGGGCTCAGAATCGCCTCCATGATAACACACACCTGCTTCTGATACGGAACCAAAATGCTGTTCCTTGATGGCGGAAACCTTCCTCGCATATCTGGCTCCCTAACAGGAGCTGTATTAATCTGTTGTTCGAAAAGGAAGAAGGAATCAATTCCGTGGCATGAAAGCGGATGCCACCACAAGCCAGTTTGTCTCAAACTAAGCTGCCACGAGTCTCTTTTGTTGTTTCTTCTCCTTTTCCACTCAGCCTCAATTTGGACAAACGCTGCTTTATGGTATTTGGCTCCCTCTTGTGACCCAAGGCCTAACAAAATGACTCATTGAAATAATTCACGGTACATCAAGCTCCGGCCAGGGGGCGGCATATACTCTGTAATGTGCGCTAAAATGGCACCAAATCACACACATATTTTTTGATAGTCAAACTCCTCTGTTTCAGGTCATTCTCACAATCACGCAAGGACATGTTTTTGACTAGAATGCATTACATGCTGAAGTTTGTTCCTGCAATGGAGAACATACAGAATAACATATTTTTTCCTCCAAGACAGAGAAGCATAAATGCTCGAAAGTGCCAACTCCCTAGTGCAAACAATGACTAGGCCCGAGATCATTCTAACTGCTTGTCTTTTTTCCCCCTTCCCATCCTCAGGCTGCCGAAGAATGGAAGTTTGTTGCCATGGTAGTGGATCACCTTCTGCTTGGCATCTTCATGTTAGTTTGCATCATTGGAACACTGGCTGTCTTTGCCGGTCGCCTCATCGAGTTACAGCAGCAAGGCTGAAAAGCGAAAACCAAGTGGGAGAGCTTGATTTAGATCTGAATATGTGCTCACTTAAGAAAGTTCATGGAAGGAAAGTCTTCCATCTCCCTCTCCTCCATCCCCTCAGCAAAGCAAACCTTTCAAAGAAGCTTGAAGGTTGGGAGCTGCAGCCAGTAAGCTTTCCTTCCAGAAACTTCCTTAACTTTGCTTATCTTAAGATCCAAGCCTATATCTTTAATGTGTTGTTAATCTGTCTCTGCCTAAAGGGGGCTAAATGGAGGGATAACCTCTTTCGAACTGGCAATTTCAGGCTCCAGAAAGTGTGATTCTGCTAAAAGTTTTTGATTGACTGGCGTCTTTAATGTCAACCGGCATGGCTTTCGTCGCACCTAACCAACTTGCTAAAGCACTGGGTCAGAACCTCTTTATTGTTCAAATCACCAGGTCAATGAGCCTAGGACATCGGTCTGTTCTGGGTATTTAAGAAAAACGGCTTTGGTGCTGTACACCAATGGTTCATCTCATTGCCTATTGGTCGTCCCTAATCACTGGCAATCTAGGATGCAAAAACTGAACACCATCCCGAGCCATGTCTTCAACCCATTGGCAGTCATGTCTTCATCAAGTCATCAACCCACAATTTTCTCACTTCCCATTCCTTACTGCTTTTTTGAATAAATAGAAATGTTCCAAATGACTCCATCAGAGAACCTTGGCTGAGCACATCTGTGATCTGAATCTCCCACACACTGCTGAAAGTGGCCCGTGCAGAAGAAAAGAAAATAGTCACTGACTGACATCTACCAAGCTGTTTTCTACTCTCTTTTCTCAGCTGTGGTTCTTGCTTGCAGGCCTATCAAAACCATGTTTACTCAGAAATATTCAGAAGCCCCTTCTGAGCACTTAAAGGTAAAGGTACCCCTGCCCGTACGGGCCAGTCGTGTCGGACTCTAGGGTTGTGTGCCCATCTCACTTAAGAGGCAGGGGGCCAGCGCTGTCCGGAGACACTTCCGGGTCACGTGGCCAGTGTGACGAAGCTGCTCTGGCAAGCCGGCACCAGCGCAGCACACGGAAACGCTATTTACCTTCCCGCTAGTAAGCGGTACCTATTAATCTACTTGCACTTAGGGGTGCTTTCGAACTGCTAGGTGGGCAGGATCTGGGACCGTAAGACGGGAGCTCACTCCGCCGCGGGGATTCGAACCGCCGACCATACGATCGGCAAGTCCTAGGCACTGAGGTTTTACCCACAGCGCCACCCGCGTCCCAGCACTTACTTTTTATTAAATGTGCTTCTGTGATATACTTCATTTTCTTTTCTTTCTTTCTTTTTTAAGAACCACCACCCCAATTTCAGTTCTGCTTTGGGATTTATTTTTTCAGTTGCCAGCAATACTCACAATTCGCTTGATCCTCTTAGCATTATTCTCACAGTCAGGGATAAAGCTGGCAAGCAAAGGAGTACTTAGATGTCTCCTGTACACATGCTCGGATATGAGATAAGCAGGCCAATTGACTGCAATTCTAAATGTCGCAATTTCACATGCATGCCCTAAAGCCACACAGAAAAAACTGTTATATCATGTGCAATCCTACGAGGGTCTATTCAGAAGTAAGCACCATTGAATTCTATGGGACTTGCCCATCTGACTATTGGTTGTTCTCACTAGAATTTTGGAGAATGTGTGCTGAGAGCATGCAAGCACCCAGTTTAGGGCACTGTATAAAATAAGAATTTAAATGTTTCAGATTTTAATTTTTACCCAACCCAAAAAATCTTCGCCCCCTCCCCCGCTTCAAGCAAATGCCGGTTGCAGTCGAATTTGTGAGTCACAGGCTCCCTCCTGTGGTGGAAATACAGTATTTCTGCAGGTATACCCTTTAACACAGACTTTCTATAATGGACACGGTTACAATAGGAGCAGTAAAGTCGGTGGCATGGTGGAAAGTTAGCCAACTCCTATTCCAGAACAAGGTTTTGAACTAATTGACAAAGAAAGAAAGCTGTTTAGCTATAGGTTGGAATTCACACGCTTCTACTGCCTTCATAGACAATGTATCACCATGGTGATCACAAAGAGCCAGTGTGGTCTAGTGGTTAGAGTTTGGGCCTAGAACCTGGAAGACCAGGGTTCAAATCTCAGCTGGGTGACCTCAGGCTAGCCACTATCTTTTAGCCTAGCTGACCTCACACACAACCCTGACCCCACCACAATATTCATTTTATAGTGCCGTAGCTATTGGGGGGTGGGGCTAGCCATGTTGTGTTTTTTTGCCCCGGGTGAAGCCTCCAGAGGAGCGCCATTGAGACTCCTGGCCTCTGTGTGTACACAAATGGGCATGAGTGTGTGTGTGTGCGCCAAACTGGGTCTTTGACCTGGGTGGAATATAGCCCAGTTTCGCCCCTGCATTCTAAACAAGACTAAAACCCCAGCAAGAGGACATTTGTGTTAAAGACCCATTTATCCAGCTAGGGAAACTTGTCAGAACCAAAATGACTTCTTCCTCTTCCTGGGGAAGGGAAATGTGGTTCATGCCTTCAGTCTATATATCATAGCTGTCAATTTCCCCTTTTTAAAAGGGAAATTCCCTTATTCCGAATAGGATTCCTTGCAAGAAAAGGGGAAAGTTGACAGCTCTGCTATATATTCCTCGCCCCCTCTATTTTATGGTTTAAGTTACCATGGAAGATAATAAGATACATATCCAGCCTGTGAACACAGTCCTGCCATGCTACAGGAGAGAATAAATAAATTCAGATATGTATTTATTCGTTCGCACTGCTGTTCGGCCTTTCCTATATCAACATCAAGGCCTTTAGAGGAAATAATTCCCCTTTGTCAAAACTTTATCGCCCATTTTGGAACACAGATGCTCCCTGTAGCTGTTGCCAAGAGCCACTGACACATATCCTTAAAAAGTCGTGGCAGAAAAGCAGTGCCGCCTTTTTCAAATAGCATCTTCCCCCACCTATACAGTACTCACATTCCTACCAGAAAAAAACTGGCATAAAAATGGTTTCTGTCTTGTGTGTGCTTTGCTCAAGAAAGCTCTCAGTACAAAAGAAATTTCCACCTTCATCAATGCCCAGAACATAGCTGTCAACTGTCCCTTATTTGGCGGGAAAGTCCCTTATCCCAGCGCCGTGTCCCGCTGCTGTCCCTTATTGATGATGTCCCTTAAATTTCCCGGGTTTCAAAGGAAGCAGCTCCTCTCCCTCCCTCCCTGCCGGCCAGGGAGGAGGGAGGCTCCAACTGTGTTGCTTGGCTGCGTTGCTCACCCAATAAGGAGTCTAAGAATGACTGGGGGGTGGAGCTTGTATTCCTTGTGCTGATCAAATCGGCCGCGTTGCCTGGAGACTCGCCTTTGCTCAGCGCTTCCCAGCGGAGAGGTGACGGTGGTTTTCCTTGCTGCATCCCCTTTGCCAGGTTGCTGCGCTGTGGGAACCACCGCTTGAGGCTTCGTTTGGCTGCAGGCTGGGCTTTCTGCCTTTGGCTTGGAGGGGCTCAGAAGTCGAACATACCTGTGTTCGGAAAATCCCTTATTTTGGCTGCTGATTCCTTATTTTTGAGGCTGCTGGTCCCTTCTTTTCAAATCTGTAAGTTGACAGCTATGGCCCAGATGTGTCTGGTGCTTCAGGAAGGATTGCATGCTGTGGTGAGCAGGGACAGAGGGTCTCCAGTCCTAGGAAGAGTCCAAACTGTAAGCAAGGTAGGAACTGCCTGAGAAATTTCTTTGCACAAGTGGGACCTTCAACAAGGCACTGCAATGTACAATGTTCCTGTTCAGGGAGCCAGCCAGCCATGGCTTCTTTCAGAGCACTCAGTTACATCCCTCCCTCATCCTATTCCACTCACCCCTGCTCACTCCAACAGTCACCATTCCCTGGCCACTGAAAAGTCCTCATTGGAAGGGTTTGCTGGATCCTCTCCCTCTTAGAGCACTGGTGGCTGATGCCCATTAGGTGTAGGGTGGAAAGCAGGGAGGCTAACAGCAGGTGGCGCCATAGCTGAAAGCCGGAGCCAACTAATTCTGGTTGTCCCCATCCCCTTCCTCCCTGCTGAGTTCTACATGTCACAGATTAAGGAGGAATCTGACAGATCGCACAATTTCTGGTGTAAGTAAGAAGACAGGCAGATGGGGGCTGGCTAACAACTGACTAAGGTTGGTGGGAGAGAACCCCATTCACCTTTATTCATCAACCCTCATAATAATAATAATAATAATAATAATAATAATAATAATAACGATTTATTTATACCCCGCCCATCTGGCTGGGTTTCCCCAGCCACTCTGGGCGGCTTCCAACAGAACACTAAAATACAATAACCTATTAAACATTAAAAGCTTCCCTAAACAGGGCTGCCTTCAGATGTCTTCTAAAAGTTTGGTAGTTATTTTTCTCTTTGACATCTGATGGGAGGGCATTCCACAGGGTGGGTGCCACTACTTAGAAGGCCCTCTGCCTGGTACCCTGTAACTTGGCTTCTTGTAGCGAGGGAACCGCCAGAAGGCCCTCGGCGCTGGACCTCACTGGCTTTGGGGGGGGGTTTCCCCTTTAAAAAAATCTATTTCTGTAAACCTTGGGATTTCCCCTGAGTCTGATGATGCTTCCCTCTTGTGTTGGATGGTTCATTTTTGCTAAATAAGGATCCATGCTCAGATAATGAGTTCATTATTATCATGTGGGACACCAGTCTGCGGCTGGCTGCCATCCACAGATCCTGACAACATGGAGAGAGTCTCGACTGATGGTCTGTGGTTTCTGGGTTGCAATCTTGATCTTTGACAATCAAGGGAGGCAAATAATTTGCATCGGCCGGGGACTGTGGATTGCTTTCTTCCAGTGCATGTGTGCATTTCAGTCCTATGTTATGTTTACTAAGAAGTGAGATTTGCTGAGTTCAGTGGGATTTCTAAGAGAACTTAGGATTTCAGACTTGCTGAGAAAGAACATCTCAAATCATTTGCATCCTATTCTTAGGCTGTGTGCACACTGCCATTTATTCTACACCCAGTGCACTCACACCACTGTTTTATTTAAAGAAAAACTATATTTATTGATACTTATCCGAACATAAGTAGCTTTTTATAATATGTACACTGAAATAAAGAAATGCTACTGAAATCTAACCTAAAATGGAATGGAGGAGAGAATGGAAAAGAAGAAAAGAAAAGAAAAGATAAAAGAAAAGAAAAGACAATGAAAAAAGTTTTTAAAGACTTCAGGTTCTCTGTCCTGCAGCTAAATGTAGTATTCACTCGTTAACAACCAGCTGTTCTATTTTCTATAAGCCAATATTTTTTCCATCTTCAAATCCAGATATTGCCAATTCATTTTTCTCTTTCATGCAAAAAGTCCATAAGAAGTTTCCACTCTGTAATAAATGTCAGAAATGATTTTTCTCTAGTTAAACATGTTAATTTCCCCACCACTGGTTTCTCAAGCCTTGGACACACGATGTTAGCTGCAATCCACACCTATCCTGTAGTTTCTTGAGAAACGCTGCATTTTAAAGCATTTCCCTGCAAACCAGCTTTGATCCGATTGGAATACATATGCCCTGTAACAACATCCCTGCCTTTCCCCCCTCCCCCCCTCCAGTCTGGACAGACAACAGGAGACAAGGAAACACATCCAATCCTACTGATGCGTACAGTGACCTGCAAATGAAAATGACCCCACTGCATTTTAAGCTGGGAATGT